CCAATATCAACATCTGCTAGACCAGGGGTAGGCAACCTGCGGCTCTCCAGCTGTTGCAGGACTACAAGTTCCATCATGCCTCTGCAAGTCATAGCTGTAACTGTCAGTTTTGTAATGTTGCAATGCCTCATGGGAAATGTAGTTCCACTACAGCTAGAGAGCCGCAGGTTGCCTACCCCTGTGCTAGACCAACTGGCTCCGCCTGTACAAGAATTCTCTTTGCCACAATAATGGCTGTAAAATCAACTTCTAGAAAAGCATGTGTTAGGGTTTGCGATTGGACCCAAATTCCAGATTTACCAATGCCCTGGTCCATCACATACTAGGAAATACAGTCCCCATAAGAGAATGGCACCATTATATCTCAAATGATTCCAATGAGGCACCAGGGCATACTCTATGAAGGTTAGAGGATTATTGAAGACAAACCTGCTCAGTGTATTGTTGAATCTGGAAGCCAGAAGGTTCCCACCTGGAGCCCCCCCCACCTGCAACACATCTTGAATCTCTCAGGACAATATCTCAGGGTAAGAGACCACTCTCTGGAGTCCAGATATTCATTACAAAGTCTGCCCGTCTTTCATGCCCATGATGTGCACAATGGATACAGCTGACAAGAGAATCAGATCCACTTCTGTTTGCACTGTGAGACTTCTGGTTCCTCCTTGGTTATTTGCAGACCGCTTCTATCCAACTTAATCCTGGTCAGGTAACTTCGTAGCTAAGGGGGCCAACAGTGAAAGCAATTTTGAGATCTTAAGAAACAGAGGGGAGGGACCCATGTCCTGAACAGGACACCAGCTCTTTAACCATTAGGACAGGGACATCCAAAAGCAATCACTGCAAAAGTGTCAACATGCCCACAGAAAACAAATTGTTTAAGAGAATCAGAAAGCAGCTGCAGTCATGTCCGCAACAGATATTTTTTTTTTTTTTGTAATTAGCGAGTACTGATACTTGTGCCCACGTACTTGCCAATACTGATTTCCTTTGCGGTGGAATTTGAGCCCATACAAAACTAATGAGCTCAAACCACACTGCAAAGAAGTGCATGCAATTTGAATAGAAAAGCAGTGCGATTGCTGTCCAAATCACCTGCCTCTCCCTGTGGGTGCGGTGCAATTTGCAGTGTGAGATTTCAGCCATACAAAACGAATGGCCCAAACCGCATTGCACCTGCAGGGAAACTGCATGGGATTGACAGAATCACAGAGCTACTTCAGCTTAAGTAGCGCAATTTCAGTTCAAATCACTTGCGATTAGAGCGCATACAAAATTAATGGGCTCTAATCACAAGTGATTTGAGCTTAAATTGCACCGTAAAGGTGGCTGTTTCAGGTATCTGAGCATTTGCACGAGTACTCATGCAAATATTTATTTCTGGTCTTCCCCCCCCCCCAGCCCGGACACCACCCCCCATTGACTTCTCCATCACATCCAACAACGCCACCATCAAACCCGCCCTGCAGGCCAGAGTACTTGGTGTCATTCTGGACTCCAACCTATCCTTCCAGCCCCAAGTCCAATCTTTAACAAACTCGTGCAGACTCCACCTCCGCAACATCGCCAAAATTCGCACGTTCCTAACCCCAGAAACCACTAAACAGCTCATCCACTCCCTCATCATATCACAACTCGACTACTGCAACTCCCTCCTCACTGGCCTGCCTCGCCGCTGGCTATCCCCGCTTCAGTCGATCCTGAATACGGCTGCCAGACTCATTCACCTTTCCAACCGCTCCGTTTCCGCCACCCCCCTCTGCCAATCCCTCCACTGGCTTCCGATTGCTCAAAGGATCAAATTCAAAATCCTACCACTGACGTACAAAGCCGTCCACCATACTGCCCCGAACTACATCACTGACCTAATATCCAAGTACCACTCAACACGCACGCACTCCGCTCCTCACAAGACCTCCTCTCTAGTTCCCTGGTCTCCTCCTCCCATGCCCGCCTCCAGGACTTCTCCAGGGTGTCACCCATCCTCTGGAACTCCCTGCCCCAACCCATCAGATTATCACCTACTCTCCTTTAGGCGCACCCTGAAAACCCACCTCTTCAGGGAAGCCTACCCCATCCCCTGCTAACTTGCCGACCTCCTCCACTCTTCCTACCACTCCATCCCCCACAGCTATCTCCTCCTGTGCCACCATCCCCTCCCTCCTAGATTGTAAGCTCGAAAGAGCAGGGCCCTCAATCCCCTCATGTTTTGCATTGTATTGGTATTGTACTGTCACATGTTCTGTCCCCATTTGTAATGTACAGCGCTGAGCGAACTATTGGCGCTTTATAAATACTGTATAATAAATAATAATATTTCTAAAGCGCCAACAGTTCGCTCAGCGCTGAACATTTCGATAGTATTGTGGAAATGCATGCAATAGCGCATTTTCTTTGGTGAAAATCTTTCTAGCAGGTCTTAACGGATAAGTCCACCATTCATAACATTATGAAAGGACCAGCCCCCTCCTCTGCTTTGGCAGGTAGCGGGGGATTTTCTCCCCTCACTAGCAGTCAAAAGTTTTTTTCAAACGCACCCATGTAGGGCTCTGCACTCCCACATCACTCATTCACAGTCCTCTGTGAATGAGAAAATTGTAAATCCCGACAGCCTTAGCAACTGTCGGCTTGTATTTCTCAATGAACTACCACAGTGCTGCGGAGTGCTGCCGTAGTTCGAGTCTTCCTGTCACAGAGTTTATCGACTTGCTTATATGGGACGTACGGCAAAAAGATATACTGACAAGTCTGCAGGAGACCTGCACGGCACCGGTGATCTGCTGATCACTGGTGCAATGCTTTTACAGGCTTCTGCAACAAAAAAATGAATATCTTTTTTTTACCTGTTTGGTTGGTATCAGGATGATATCACAGTTTATACCATGTACTGTAAATCGTGATGCAATGATAATGAGATGAAGTGCAGGTAGGTTAATTGGATCCTGTCTAAATTGGCCCTAGTATGTGTATGTATGAATGTAAGTTAGGGACCTTAGATTGTACACCCCTTGAGGGTTAGGGACTGATGTGAATGTACAATATATATGTAAAGCACTGCGTAAATTGACAGCGCTATATAAATACCTGAAATAAATAAGTGTCAGTCAATCTCAATATTAAATAATGATGTACATTATGCTTCATAAAAGAAAGGCATGGGGTAGAAAACATTCATAAAGTACCTTACCAGCACATGATTCTGTTAGTAGTTGGTTCTGACTTTTAACATTTTGTTGCTGTAATTTTACAAATTGGTGAGCAATTCCACACTAAGCAAAGGGAATGTGTGGGGTGAATGTTTAAAAGTGCTGTGTTGTTTAGGATCCTGAGGGCGTTTTCCATGTCACACAGAAGAAATACTGTGAGGTTATGGAACTTGGCAGCAAACTTTTTATGTTGGCATACAAGTAGCAGAACAATTCATGTCCTCCACACTACAGTACAAGGTTTGAGAATAGGAGACATGAAGGACAGTACAGTTCACACTATTCTCACTTTTCCCCTCTTGTGGACATTGCATAGAATTACCATTTAAATAATTATCCACTTGAGATTTCAACTTGAAACAGATAGAAAATGCCAGTAAATGCAGGTATATATTCATTAACCCCTTCCTGCACAGCCCCGGTGTCCCATTAATAGAGTTTGTACACCTGGGGGGGGCAGTAAGAATTGTCAATTGTATGGCCACCGATTGGCTGTGACAGTGGTCACATGATTGGAAGCCAGTCCCACCAGCTACTAATTGTTAGTGGGAATAGGGAGCTGTTTAGTCTCTGTGCTGGTAGCGCACTCTTAGCATAGAAACATGAGCAGCCCATTAATGTATGTATGTGGGTGTTTGGGCCCAGCCTTTTGCCGCCCCACACGTGCTATGCAGGCAGTTACAGGTTTAAACATCATTAAAGAGGATCTTCACCCTGTAAAAAAAATAAAATAAATAAAAGTCAGCAGCGACAAATACTGTAGCTGATGACTTAAATAAAAAAAAAAAAAAAAAACACAAACACAGACACTTGCCTGTCCCAGGATTCAGCGATGTCTTCACGCGACCCAGCTCTCTGTCGGTCTTCCGGCCCAGGCAACTGCTTGCAGCTTTACAGCAGGCTGCCCACTGCGCATGCTGAGCTGCCATCCGGAAATAGCCCGACACTCTCCTGGGACCTGTGATGTGCCCCAAGAGGTTGCGGGGAGAGGTAGGGGTGTGTGTGGGGCAAACTTCCTCTTTGATCGCCTAGGCAGTTAGAGCAGATACCTTTCAAATTCAGGAACACCTCCCCATCCAAACACATTCCCAGGGTGGGAGGGAGGGGGGTTGGCTGGGTTGTAGGGTTAACGTCTGCTTCAAGTGTATTTTTAAAAGCACCTAGAGTAGGTACCTATACTCTAATGGGATGGTAGATGCTTTATTAAGATGGGATACTGCCAGATCCAAAGTAGCTAGAAAAAAAAAAAAAAAAAAAAAAAAAAAAAAAAAAAAAAAAAAAGGAAATGGAAACATCTATCCTAGGACACTAACAAAAAAACAAGGTATGCTGGAAATAGTAGGGTTATCCTGGGCTGGCCCACCATTTGTTTCCCAGTGTAGGAGGCAGCATAACTTGACAGTGAAAGATTTCCCGTGTTCCTCAATGAAGGAGAAAATTTCAGGCCCACCTCTTGTGTACATGTATAGGACATTATACCTTCTTATAAAATTATGATCTTGCCCATATCATGTATAATTATTTAAAAAAATAAAATTAAATCTGAAAAACTTTAATAGGTTTAGTGAAATATGAAAAACTTTAATACAATAGGTTTAGTGAATGTACAAATTACAAAGAGCATGACACACTTACATACACACATGTATATATAGATAGAAACATACAATTTAAAAATACAGAAGATAACAGTGTGCATTAAGACTAAGCTGGGAGTCTGCATGTTCTCCAGTCTAGAAAAAAAAAGATATGAAAATCTAACACTGCGCTCCTAATGAAGTGTGGCTGCTGATCTTAAAGGGGGCTCCGAAGGGCTTCGAGCTTAATGAAGTAAATACATAGCCCATCTTGAAAGCTGCTGTCCAACAACTGTTCCATCTCATCTTTGAGTTCCTTTAAAACATATGCTGGAGATTCACTGTCCATATTCAATATTTTGGAAAAGAAGGCGTTCCAGAGTTCACCACGCCACCAACTAAAACAGGAAATGTAAGTGTGAAAAAGCGATTATCTGCATTGGGTCATACTATTTTGGGTCTTCGTCCTACTGCATAGTCACACTTTCCATTTCTATGGGCTTAAGTATTTTAAAGTTTACACTTAATAGAAACTGTTGGTTACTTATAGCTTTATTAACGTATGAGCCAGTCGAAAGGGAACTTTTATGAAATTATATCTTTAACCACTTGCCTACTGGGAACTTATACCCCCTTCCTGCCCAGGCCAATTTTCAGCTTTCAGTGCTGTCGAACTTTGAATGACATTTGCGCGGTCATGCAACACTGAGCCCATATGAAGTTTTTATAATTTTTTTTTTGCATAAATAGAGCTCTCTTTTGTGGTATGTATTCACCACTGGGTTTTTTAATTTTTTGCGCTAGAAGCAAAAAAAAAAAAAAAAAAAAAACAATGTTGTTTCTATTATAAAATTTTGCAAACAGGTCCTTTTTAGCCTTCACTGATGTATGCTGATGAGGCTGCAGTGATAGGAGGCACTGATAAGGTGGTGCTGATAGGAGACACTGATGAGCTGGCACGGATATGCAACGATGATGAGCACTGATAGGCGGCAATGATCATCAGTGCTTTGATGATCGGTGCCGATCCATCGTCTTACAATTGCCGGTTATCGGCAGTACTTTCCTCACGCTGTGAAAACTGAGGAAAGTACAGCCGATAACCGCCAACTGCATATACCAGTGATCGGCTGTGTCATTGGACACGGCTGATCACATGGTAAAAGGCTGCTGTGATTGGCCTTTTACCACATCATGTGATCAGCTGTGTCTGTAGGACACAGCGATCATGGAGATTGCCGGGTGCAGGCTTCTGGGGGCGCATTCTGGGAGGACGTCATGACATCCTACCAGAATTGGCCGGCCGCAGTGAAGCCGCCATTCGGCTATCGGCAAGTGGTTAAACATTTCTGCTACTCACGCAAATCATCCTAAAAAGGGCATAACTTTATGAACTAAAATAGTTTTGAGCATGTGCTTCTCTGCTCACAGTTGCATTTGCCCAGCAGAAAGTGAACATGGCAGTATACATGGGCTTTCATTCCAGAAACAAAAAGACAAGGTGCTCCTGCCTTATTGCAACAGCCCTTGTTATCAGATACTTGCCTTCCCCACAAAGTTTGGAGACGCTAATGTGCCAGCTGACTTCCATAAATTCTGAATGAATCTAAATACAGGAACACACATTGCCTAGTACTCATACAAATGTTTCAGTAGATTTTTGCCAAAGGACAAGGTGTCCTTCATTTGGAAAGCCATATTAAAAACGAGATAACAGTGATGATGAATCTTGGACAGAGCAGACATCCCCCCCCATGGGCTATGTCCTTCCAAGGACCCTTAGGAGATCCATTTTAGCTTTGGGTTCTTGGCAGGTGGACACTATAGACTGATAGAATTTTCCTTTCCCATTGAAGTTTTATCATGGTTTTATCAGGACTTTATTAAGCATTTACAAATTACTGGCCTGCCAGAGAGACAGTCTAGACTTCAGGTGTAAAGGTTTATTAAAAGGGAAACATAAGGTGCCATATATGCTGTATTTACTTTGCATGACAAGCATGATTATTACCTACTGCCTACTATTACCTCTGATGCTACATTGTCTCTAACCCACTCACTCATCTTTTTCACCAAGGACCACTGGTATCTTCCCATTTAGTTATGCCCTTTTCCTGCTCTTCTAGTGGTCTATGCTCCAAGTTCACCCCACATCAAATCTTCAGGCTTATGCCTGGGCTGTAACCCTAGAGGATCCTACTAGGTAAGTTTCAACCTTTCTGCTAACCTTCCCTTTCGCAGAAGCCTGTATTTAATATTTCCTGCAGGGAATAACGCAGGTTGTGGAAATCCCATTTTGTTCTCTCCTGCATGAAAGCAATTGCTGATGCAAAACTCTGATGCAATGCCACAGGCCAATATATAGTCTGGTTTAGCGTGAAAATATGCTTTTAAAAGAAACACCAATAACTGTCTTGTATTAACTATTAACCAGCACCTCACAAAAAATAATTTAGGCAATTTAATACAATTATTCACCTGGGAAATGCTTTGTTGATTTTCCATACTGAATCTTCATGATGAACCTCCAAGCACTTGCTGAAGATTATTTGGTGCACCACATTTGCAATGCCAAGAAGATCCACCTGGGGGCAGCAAATTAAAGTGCTTAAAAATAACCGTCTGATATAAAAAACTTACACGAGGTCAAATTAATTGTTTGAAATCGTATTAAAATGTGTTTTGCTCTCAAAGGAAAACAAAAATTCAATAAGTCAATAAGTCAATAAATACTCCAAGTAAACCACCACTATACCAGTATTGTTTATTTACATAAATTAAACAAAAAATGTTATATTTTAAAGACCTGAGCAGTGTGCAGTATTGTCTTCATTCAGATAAAAGTAAAGTGCTTCACACTACAAACATGAAAGCAAATATGAGACAGCAAAATACTATAATAATGCAAATAAAAATAAGTTCTAAATAAATCCCCAAATGCTACGCATGTGAAATATGAAGTGACCAAGTCCCATTCTTTTTACTTAGTCACTTTGTATTTCACGTGTTGCGTTTGGGACTTTATTTAGGACTTTTTTATTTGCATTGCGTGTAGTATTTTGCGGTCTCATATTTACTTTCATGTTTGTAGCGTGGAGCGCCTCACTCTTATCTATTTGTTACGTGTATAGTGATGGTACTTACAGGAGGTAGCAGCTCTACTTATTTCCCTACGGTGTGATTTCTTCTGTCTTTTGTGACATTTAATTGTGCTCGGATTTTTTATTATTTTATTAGTACTGTCTACACACCAGTTACAGCTCTTCAAACCCTTAATGGTCAGGAAGTTAATGGTTCATTTCACAATTGTCAAAGCCTCTTATAAAGCCCATACGATGCGTTGTGATAAAAGCATTTTGGATCATTTTGCACACAAAACACTGTGGATCAGACATTACCATAACACACAAGGTTGGGTGGGGCAACTGGTGGAAAGTAAGTTGTGACCGGCTAGTAGGTCTGGACTTGAAATTTTAAACCCGGATTTAACTACACCTGCAGCATAGATACTCAGTATGTATTGTTTATTGTACCAGATACTTGTACGAAACTGGCATTGTATAATGCAGACACACTTACCTGGTAAGGTGAAGTTCTGTCAGCTAGAACCTGCTGTCCATACTCAGTTTGTGCTATGGGGAAAGCGGTTAATGGCAGTGTAGGACACAACCGCATGTCCATGCTATGGGAGAAATCTGTTGGTTTGATGCAACCATTCAACTCTGTGCAAGAAGTCAAGTCAAAAATCCTGTTGGGGGGGGGGGGGGAAGAAGAAATTGTTTATCCAACAGGTTATTCACACAACAGAGTTCAAAAGCACCATACACGTGTGTATAATCAAGTAAATGTTACACAGCACAGTGGCTGGCACTGCCTGGCAGTACTAAGATCATTGGTTCGAATCCCAACCATGGCACCACCTGCCTGGAGTTTGCATGTAATCCCTGTGTCTGTGTGGGTTTCCTCTGAGTACTCCGGTTTCCTTCCACACTCCAAAGACATGCTCCTGGATCCTGTCTAAATTGGCCCTAGTATGTGTATATGTATGTAGGTCAGGAACCTTAGATTGCATGCCCCTTGCGGGTTAGGGAGTGAAGTGTGTGTGTGTGTGTGTGTGTGTAAGTAGCAAGTACCAAGGCTTGGTTCACACCAATGCATTTGCTTTTTGCAAAAGCGCACTACCTATGGGATATATTCACATCTATTTGTTTTTCACCCGCTGCATTTTTGGAAAGGGTCGGGAGCTATTTTACCTGGTTCCACGCTGCCCTATAGCAGAAATACTGCAACAGGGCAGCACGGGTGTGCAAAAATCACACACACACACACACGATTTTGCATTTCCGGGTAGGGCGCGTGCGGCGTTCGCGGCCTCGGCTGTTGATCACCTGATCCCGACCGGTGATTCCCTGACGGCACCCGTCGATCTTCGAGTATTACCAATGGCGGAGAGGCCTGTGTATATACAGATCTCTCCCCTGTCAGCTCCTGCACACTGCTTTGTAAGGCTCTGCATAGCAGTGTGCTTACAGTGAAGAACACACACAGCCTCCATAGTAAAACAGCACACAGATAACCCTTTGATCTCCCCAGATGTAAACCATAATGTGGTATTTTTCCTGGAAAAAATTTCAGTGAAAGAATTCAGCATTATGGCCACTAGTTGGAGCCAGCCATTATAGGAAATCGCTGCATTAACCTTTGGGAGCCGACCGCCTCCCGTACCTTTAAGGGTTCTAAAAGTTGGGAGGTGAGCTTTCACAGCACATGATCGCAAAGCTCCCAATCGCAAGTATGCATTGGGTGCTTACCGATCACTGCTGGCAACAATGCTGGGAGTGTGCAGTCAGTACTGCAAGGCAAGTAATTTTAACAGGGTTGCATGTATGTGGCCGCTCGGTGTTAAAGCCCACACGCCAAGCGGCCATCTATATGCGTGTGTCCAGCGTCAACAGATTAAGCATAACACAGTCAGAACTAATCAATGACAGGTGAATGCTTGGCACATTTGTTCAACAAACATTTTTTGTTAATAGACTGAAGACAGGGAGAAAACAAAATAACCGATTGTAAAGTGGTTTGCTTAAGAAACATCAAACAGCTTCTGTCACTAAAAAAAAATTGTAATTAAAATGTAAAAGATTATGCTTTTTGCCCTTTTTAAAGTCAACATGGTTTTAGAAAAAAAATTACGTAGCCCCAAATTCTTACGATAAAAACACAAAATTGGCAGGAACGTGGCAAATTTTCCATTTCAAATAAAATCAAAATGATGGCATTGAAACAAGCCACAGCAATCTGCCACCCATGGTTTATAGCAACTATTCCAAACAGAGTTGAAAATAGACAGAAAACACATTTGGCGTAGCATTGTGGTGGTTTTTAATCTATTAAACTTGATCATTGGGTTGCTTGAGACCATGGGCAGTAGTTTGCCACAGACCATTGCAGCTTCTCAATTTCTTTTTTCATTGAGCCTGGGTTCACACTTGTGGGGTGCGGCATATTGCATGTGATTCGCACAGAAACGGCACCGCTTTCCTGTGCGGATCACATGCGAATTCTGAGAGGTGCAATTTGAGCCCTACATTTAGTATGGCTCAAATCACACTGTATCCGCACCAAAAGGCGCAGGACCCTTTTTTTGGTCCGCACTAGAATCAGATTGCATTGTTATTCACACCCATTCGATCCGATTCTGCACACTGCACCGCGTTTTGCGGACTGATTTCAGGGTGTTAACATACACACCCGCAGCGTTATGTATGAACAGGGTGCAATTGTGATGCGGTGTGGAATTTTCAGAGAAACCACTGAATTCTGCACTGCATCAGTGTGAACCCAGGCTGAAATATTCATAACTTGCCACATGTATAGCCAGGACAACAGCTAGCCCACCAGTAGGAATACTGACTTGTTGTCCAGCAGAAGAGTTTCTGTCCTCAGGTCTCCATGGATGATATCTACTGAATGGAGTTTCTCCACAAGACTCAGCAAATTGTATGCAAACAGAATAATGACCTCCTCAGTCATAGTCTCTTTGTCTTCAAGTATGTCCTAGTGGAGAAGACAAAGCAGCTTATTAGGTGAATTCGTGACTGATCAATACTTTCCCGAGTAATACTAGGTGGGCAAATTTTGAGACATTGTAGGTATGTGATCCATGGCGTGTACACAAAACATTGTAGCAATTAGATTCCAGGTAAGAAAACTCCAGGTGGGTATAAAACAAATTAATGCAGTTATGTTTTTAAGAAAAAAAAAAAAAAAAAAACATTAAATGTAGTTTACAACCATTGACTTGATATTAGCCTCTTGCAATCCATGAGTCAAATATATTTTAAATAGGCAGATGCTGGCAGGAGCCAATCAGGTAATTCTGCATGCAACTATGCTGACAAGGAGCATGCTGATAAAAAGGAGAAAGCAGAGTGCCCTTTCACTGTCCAGTCTGCATTCTAGGGGTGGAAAGATGACCCCACTGTATTCCTTAACTGTAACAGGTGTCATCCTCCAGGCTGTGCAAAACAAAAATTTCTTGGATGGTAAAACAGTTCATACACAGTATATGCATTTAATCTGTGTATTAAAGCGGTAATAAACTGCCGCAAAAAAAATAAAAAAAATTTGGTCCCAGGCAGTTTAGGTTATATTGTGCACAAAAAGACAGACTTGCCTAAAAACGAAGCCCTCCAGGCGGTGCGCTGTCACTGCTGTAGGCGCCTCCATCTTCAACTGGTCTTCTTCCAGGTTCGCGAGCTTCAGCAGTATGAATGGCCGTGCTGCGGTGAATCACTCCCAAATGTGCGCGTGGGAGTCACTCTTTGCAGCACAGGGCTCTGAAGGAATGGCACGGGGTATGACGTTCTTTCAGAGCACATGCGTCGGTGACTTCACGGGCTGCTGCCATAGTAAATATCTCCTTAACAGTGCATGTTTAGGAGATATTACTGTACCCAGGGGCGGACTGACCATTTGGAAACTCTGGCACTGCCCAAGGGCCCGGGGTCAGTAGGGAGCCCCATGAGATGCCCCTGGTACCTTTTTCATAGGCTTTTTTGAGTTTGGGCAAGGACACAGGGGGCCCCATGATCTCCTATTGCCCGGGGGCCCCATGAGTTGTCAAACTCCCTTGGTTGAATTTTACCTAATAGGTATGCTCAGGGGTGGACTACTACCACTTTAAGCTGTTCGGTATTGAGGTGGTTAAAGTTGAGCTCATGCCAGATACTTCCTGCCCAGACCAATTTTCAGCTTTCAGTGCTGTCACAGTTTGAATGACAATTGCACAGTAATGCAACACTGTACTCAAATGAAATTTGTATTCACATAAATAGAGCTTTCTTTTGGTGATATGTAAGCACCACTGGGTGTTTATCTTTTTCTAGATAAATAAAAAAGGCTGAACATTTGAAAATAAAAAAAATTTATATATATATATATATATATATATATATATATATAAAATAATTTTTTTTATTTTTTTGGTTCTCAAATTTTTCAAATAATCTTTCATAAATTTAGGCCCCATACCCCTGCCCCACACTATTGATGGGTTTATGTTGAGAGACTAATCAGCCAGCTGTTTTGGGGCTGTTTAAAAAAAAAAAAAAAAAAAAAAAAAAAAAAAAAACGGCTTGTCAAAATTCACCATTTCTAAATGTTTCTGAATGGACATTCACCTGAATAGTAAAGTGAGTGGTATCCTTATAAACAGTAAAACAGCCATCCTGGAAGAGGAAGCAGTCACTTGGTTCTAATAGACAACTGTTAAAGGCCTCTCCGAGCCGTTCTGTCAGTTGCTGTGTAATATAGAAATCCCATGGAACTGGCTGGGAATCCCTCTGCAAGAAGAAACATTAGAATAATCAGGTGCATCCACATTAAAAATTGCACAAAAAACTAACCAACAAAACTTGACATTACCAAAGAAATGTAGCTTATATGCTTCTAAACACTAAAGAGTAGGACCAAAAAAAAAAAAAAAAAAACACAAAAAAAAAAAAAAAAAAAACAAAAAAACGTAACCAACCTTTATAACTACCCCTCTTACGCTTTCCATCTCCACATCTAACAATGTTGCTTTAAGAAGGTTTCTGCCATTTCCTAAACTAATTTTACTTCTTAGTTGATAAGTTTCCCCACCTGTAAATAAAGGTAACCAGATAAACACAATTCAGTGAAAGAAAAATATGAAAATGTCATTAAATAACTGGAAATAAAAAGCTAATTGGGAAGCAAGCACCCATCTACTCAACAAATGTCTCACATACAAAGGACAAGTTGCAGACATCTGACAGCAAATAAAAATGTTTTCTTGCCCCTGTGCCAAGACATAAGGACTACACTATATGGGCCAAAAATTTGCAGATATTTGACCAAAGAAATATTGTTATACTATTATGGCCAAAGGTTTTAAAGCCAACTAACCAATCGCATCTACACTATATTGCTAAAAGTGGTCATGTTTTCAAATGATTGAGTGCAGGTGTTTCCAGTGAAGGGTACCGTAAATGCTCAACCATAAAGAGTTTTTAGACAACTGTGCGATTTCAATCTTGCGGCATCAGTTTAGGGAAAGACGTTTTTGTTCGAGCAGGACTGTGGCCCTGAGGACAAAGCCACATACATGGTTTGAGGACTTTGTGGAGAAACCTGAATAACCTGCACAGAGCCCTCACCTCAACCCTTTTAGACACTCTAGGGATAAAAATTTTGTCTTACCGTAAACTCCTTTTCTTGAATTTCACCAGGTAAAAAGGGTTTTTAGATACAGTTAGGTCCATATGTATTTGGACACAGGCACAATTTTAGTTTTTTTCAGGTATTTACCAAAACATATTCAAGCTATAGTTCTATAATGGATATGGGCAGAAAGTGCACACTCAGGTTTAATTTGAGGGTATGTACATCCAAATTGGAGGAAGGGTTTAGGAATTACATCCTTAAGTGTAGCCATCCCCCTTTTTCAAAAGACCAAAAGTAATTGAACAAATTAATATAATCATAAATAAAATGTTCATTTGTAATATTTTGTTGAGAATCCTTTACTGACAATGACTGCCTGAAGTCTGAACCCCATGGACATTACCAAAGACTGGGTTTCCTCCTTTCTGATGCTTTGCCAGGCTCTAACTGCAACTGTCTTCAGTTCTGTTTGTGGGTCTTTCTGCCTTTAGTTTTGCCTTCAACAAGTGAACTGAATGCTCAATGGAGTTGAGATCAGGTGTGACTCAGCCATTGCAGAATATTCCACTTTTCCTTCAAAAGCTCCTGGGTTGCTTTTGCAGTGTGTTTTAGATCATTGTCCATGTGTACTGTGAAGTGTTGTCCAATCAACTTTGCTGCATTTGGCTGAATCTGGGCTGACAGTATATCTCTAAATACTGCAGAATTCATCCGGCTGCTTCTGTCTGTCACATCATCAATAAACACCAATGATTCAGTGTCACTAGAAGCCATGCATGCCCATGCCATCACACTGCCTCCACCATGTTTTACAGAGGACGTTGTGTGCTTTGGATCATGAGCTGTTCCAAGCCTTCTTCACACTTTTTCTTCCAGTTATTCTGGTACAGATTAATCTTAGTTTCATCCATCCAAAGAATGCTTTTCCAGAACTGGTCTGACTTTTTTAGATTATTTTTGGCAAAGTCTAATCTGGCTTTTCTATTCTTCAGGCTTATGAATGGCTTGCACCTTGTGGTGAATCCTCTGCATTTGCTCTCATGAAGTCTTCTCTTGATTGCAGACTTTGACAATGATACGCCCATCTCCTGGAGAGTGTCCTACACTTGTCTGGATGTTGTGAATGGGTTTCTTTACCATAGAGAGGATCCTGCGATCATCCACCACTGTTGTCTTCCATGGATTTCCATGCTTTTTATCTTGCTGAGCTCACCCATGCGTTTTCACCAGAATGGACTAAAAGGTTGATTTTGCCACTCCTAATGTTGCTGCTATCTCTGATGGATTTGTTTCATTTTTGAATCTTTACAATGGCCTGCTTCACTTGCATGGACAGCTCCTTTGAACGCATAATTTAGGTTCACAGCAATAGATTCCAAATGCAAATACCCCACTTTGAATCAACTCCAGACCGTTTACCTGCTTATGAAGAAATAATGAAGGAGTAGCCCACACCTGGCCACGAAACCCCTTTTGATTCAATTGTCCACTTACTTTTGGTCCCTTGAAAAGGGGGGATGGCTACTCTTAAGAGCTGTAATCCCTAAACCCTTCTTCCAATTTGGATGTACATGCCATCAAATTAAACCTGAGCGTTTGCACTTTCAGCCCATAGACATTATATAAATATATATCTATATAACTATAGCTTGAATATGTTTTGGTAAAAATCTAAAATTGTGCCTGTGTCCAAATTATTTATGGACCTAACTGTATATTATTAATGTTGCCACCTTTAAGAGCATTGGATGCTGGCAAACAAAGCCAGTAAATCAGCAATAACTCCACTACTCCCATCATGCTTCAGTTTTGTGTGATAGCAGTAGAGACGTGATCACAAGACAGATGGGTATGGACCTGTGGCTCTTGAACAAAAACGCCAAGAAATGTATGTTATGGTAAGTAAAAAATCCCGTTTTCTTATCGGTTTATTAAGGAATACAGAGACAGGAAATGAGAAATAAAGGACGTCCCAAAGCAGTCCAAGTGGACAACACAGCAAGCAAAATGCAAACAAGCCCATAAAACCACAGCAAACAGTTTGCAGTGCAAACAGCCACCAGAAGAACCTTACATCCAAAACTGACATTAGGTGAGCACTAAACTTTCACCTGGTAAAACTTTGGAAACGCGAACAGAACACAAAAAGGGTCAAATGTGCAAATATGTGGAAACATACTCCTGATGCTGAAAGGCCCATGGGAAAATAACCGATCTAGAAGAATGCACCTTGGCTAGGAAAGATACAACCTTATTCTTAAACCTGTAACCATGAATGAGTTGTCAGAGCCACCTAGAAATTGTGAAATGAGAAAAAGGTCCCCTACAGGGACCCTTGAAAATGACAAAAAAAAAAAAAAGTGTCAACCTGAAAGTAGTAGCAGCTCTGTGAGAAACTTGACCAGCTTGCACCACACCCACACAAAGGGAAAACTCCTTGAGACGATCAGGAGCAGGACAAAAAGGTGAAGTGGTTGGTTAAGGAGCAATGAAGAAGCTCTGCCGTTTCACCTACGGAGGACAAGAAAAGTTGTTCTACAAGCAGGAGCTGCCAACACAACAACACTTGTCTAAAAGAGGTGATGGCAATAGGGAAGGCAACATCGACACAGGAATGCCTGTGATAGATTCAAAGAGCAAGAACTGGCCTTTGATAGTACTCTAGACAAAAACGTTGATCCCGACCTGTTTGGAGGTAGGTCAGCATACGTCCCACAGAATATTTCCTGGGAATAAACTTCCTTGCCTCACATCAAAGCAAGCTTTCAAAATTTGATAGAAGTAGATTTCCTAGCTTTCAGGAGCATTAGTAATAGTCTTGACTATAATGCCATTTCAGTTTTTAGTCGTATATAAGTCAGTAAAATCTCCACTATATTTTAGTTGACTAAAATGTAATGGGTTTAGTTAAATTGTAATGCATTTTTTAAGCATTTCTCTAGAATTTCCAAACTTATTATATACTCCTGGAGTAAAAATCTAACATGTTCTTTATGGTATTACGGTTTGAACAAGCACTACAGACAGATTTAGCCGTTGTGATATATAAGGTCTTTATAAAAAAAACCAAGTTTCATAAAAACACCAAAATATTGCTTTTGGAAAACAGAGGTGCAACTTTATATTTTAAATTACATTAAATATTAAAATAAAAACATTTTTATATCTCTCTATCACACACGTGAAACTCGAAAAATTAGAATATCGTGCAAAAAGTTCATTTATTTAAGTAATGCAACTTAAAAGGTGAAACTAATATGCGAGATAGACTTATTACATGCAAAGCAAGATAGTTCAAGCCGTGATTTGTCATCATTGTGATGATTATGGCTTACAGCTCATGAAAACCCCAAATCCCCAAGCTCAGAAAATTTGAATATTACATGCAATCAATAAAACAAGGATTGTACATAAAACAATATCTGACCTCTGAAAAGTATAAGCATGCATATGTACTCAGTACTTGGTTTGAGCCCCTTTTGCAGCAATTACTGCCTCAATGCGGAGTGGCATGGAAGCTATCAGCCTGTGGCACTGCTGGAAGACCAGGATGCTTCAATAGCGGTCTTCAGCTCTTCTGCTTTGTTCGGTCTCATGTCTCTCATCTTTCTCTTGCCAATGCCCCATAGATTCTCTATGGGGTTCAGGTCAGGCGAGTTTGCTCCCAAATCAAGCACAGTAATCCCATGGTCATTGGCACCTGCCCACACTGCCAAAAGCACCAAAACCTGGTTCAAGTCCTGCTGGAAAATTAAGTCAGCATCCCCATAAAGCTAGTCTGCGGAAGGAAGCATGAAGTGCTCCAAAATCTCCTGGTAGACGGCTGCGTTGACCCTGGACTTAATTTGGGGAGCCATGTCATCTACTGGTGTTGGTCCACTGTGCTTCATTAACAGACTGGAAACTTCACACTGGACTTCAAGCATCTTGCAGTGTGTGCCTCTCCATTCTTCCTCCATACTCTGGGTCCTTGGTTTCCAAATGAGAAGCAAAAGTTGCTCTCATCAGAAAACAGGACTTTGGACCACTGAGCAACAGACCGGGTCTGTTTTTCTTTAGCGCAGGTAAGACGATTCTGATGATTGTTGTTCAGGAGCGGCTTGACAAGAGGAATACAACATTTGAAGCCCATGTCCAGGATCCGTCTGTGTGTGGTGGCTCTTGATGCACTGACTCCAGCCTCAGCCCACTCCTTGTGAAAGTCCCCAAAACTTTTGAATGTCCTTTTCCTGACAATCCTCTCCAGGCTGCGGTCATCCCTGCTGCTTGTGCACCTTTTTCTTCCACACTTTTCCCTTCCACATGACTTTCTATTAATGTGCTTTGATACAGCACTTTGGGAACATCCAACTTCTTTTGCAATTACCTTTTGAGGCTTTCCCTCCTTATGGAGGGTGTCAATGATGGTTTTCTGCACAATTGTCAGGTCAGCAGTATTCCCATGATTGTGATTCCTACTGAACCAGACTGAGAGACCATTTAAAGGCTCAGGAACCCTTTGCAGGTGTTATGGCTTAATTAGCTGATTAGAGTGGGACACTTTGAGCCGAGAATATTGCACCTTTTCACAATATTCTAATTTTCTGAGATTGTGGATTTGAGGTTCTCATGAGCTGTAAGCCATAATCACCACAATTATGACAAATCACGGCTTGAACTATCTTGCTTTGCATGTAATGAGTCTCTCTCATATATTAGTTTCACCTTTTAAGTTGCATTACTGAAATAAATGAACTTTTGCACGATATTCTAATTTTTCGAGTTTCATGTACACACACACACACACACACACACACATATAGTCAGGTCCATAAATATTGGGACATCGACACAATTCTCACATTTTTGGCTCTATACACCACCACAATGGATTTGAAATGAAACAAACGAGATGTGCTTTAACTGCAGACTGTCAGCTTTAATTTGATGGTATTTACATCCAAATCAGATGAACGGTGTAGGAATTACAACAGTTTGCATATGTGCCTCCCACTTGTTAAGGGACCAAAAGTAATGGGACAGAATAATCATAAATCAAACTTTCACTTTAATACTTGGTTGCAAATCCTTTGCAGTCAATTACAGCCTGAAGTCTGGAACGCATAGACATCACCAGACGCTGGGTTTCATCCCTGGTGATGCTCTGCCAGGCCTCTACTGCAACTGTCTTCAGTTCCTGCTTTTTCTTGGGGCATTTTCCCTTCAGTTTTGTCTTTAGCAAGTGAAATGCATGCTCAATCGGATTCAGGTCAGGTGATTGATTTGGCCATTGCATAACATTCTACTTTCCCTTAAAAAACTCTTTGGTTGCTTTTGCAGTATGCTTTGGGTCATTGTCCATCTGCACTGTGAAGCGGCCAATGAGTTCTGAAGCATTTGGCTGAATGAGCAGATAATATTGCCCGAAACACTTCAGAATTCATCCTGTTGCTTTTGCCAGCAGTCACATCATTAAATACAAGAGAACCAGTTCCATTGGCAGCCATACATGCCCACGCCATGACACTACCACCACCATGCTTCACTGATGAGGTGGTATGCTTAGGATCATGAGCAGTTCCTTTCCTTCTCCATACTCTTCTCTTCCCATCTCTCTGGTACAAGTTGATCTTGGTCTCATCTGTCCATAGGAAGTTGTTCCAGAACTGTGAAGGCTTTTTTAGATGTCGTTTGGCAAACTCTAATCTGGCCTTCCTGTTTTTGAGGCTCACCAATGGTTTACATCTTGTGGTGAACCCTCTGTATTCACTCTGGTGAAGTCTTCTCTTGATTGGTGACTTTGACACACATACACCTACCTCCTGGAGAGTGTTCTTGATCTGGCCAACTGTTGTAAAGGGTGTTTTCTTCACCAGAGAAAGAATTCTTCGCTCCCACCACAGTTGTTTTCCGTGGACTTCCGGGTCTTTTGGTGTTGCTGAGCTCACCGATGCGTTCCTTCTTTAAGAATGTTCCAAACCGTTGTTTTTGCCATGCCTAATGTTTTTGCTATCTGATGGGTTTGTTTTGTTTTTTCAGCCTAATGATGGCTTGCTTCACTGATAGGAACAGCCTTTGGATCTCATCTTGAGAGTTGACAGCAACAGATTCCAAATGCAAATAGCACACTTGAAATGAACTCTGGACCTTTTATCTGCTCATTGTAATTGGGATAATGAGGGAATAACAGACACCTGGCCATGGAACAGCTGAGAAGCCAATTGTCCCATTACTTTTGGTCCCTTAACAAGTGGGAGGCACATATGCAAACTGTTGTAATTCCTACAATGTTCACCTGACTTGGATGCAAATACCCTCAAATTAAAGCTGACAGTCTGCAGTTAAAGCACATCTTGTTCGTTTCATTTCAAATCCATTGTGGTGGTGTATAGAGCCAAAAATGTTAGAATTGTGTCAATGTCCCAATATTTATGGACCTGACTGTATATACATACACACACTTTGTAGCTGCTGACTTTTTTCTTCTTTTCATTTTGACTGGAGCTCTGCTTTAATTTTGATGGCAAATTTTGATTTGGTTTTAGTCAATCTTTTGACTAAAAATGCTATTTTAGTTTTAGTCATATTTTATAATCATCTCAACTGTTTTAGTCGTATTTTAGTTGACGAAATTAACACAGCTGTAAAAGCGATATAAATCCTGTATAGTAATAACAAAAATCAACAGCTTGCGCCTTTAGAACCACTAACTTTATGCAAGCATCACAAACTGAAAATTTTTTTTTAATATGCAAAGCAAAATCACCCATCCATGCACGTCTCCATGCTTTATTTTGTTGATAAACCACTTTAGAAAATGCCCTCCCCCCTAGGATTTCTAGCTGTAGCCATCTTGAGTAAGGGCAGATGCACCCTGGGTGGCTGTCCCTCCTGCCCACCCCTTAACCTGGCCCTGACTGAATGCGACCATAAATGAACAGGAGGCATTGACAACAACAAAATGGAGAATCAGAAGAAGTTGTGTATTGACCTTTGTACAGAATTGACCTACTGTAGGTTCTCTTGTGCTCTATAAGATAGATCGGAAAGGATGTATGTAGTCTCTCTCAGAGTTATAGTTTTATGTAATTAAGTTGACTTTATAATAAATATAATTTTAGTAGTTTCCATAGGTCTCATACACACGAGTAGTTTAGCTTGTCCAAGTCAATCCTGGAATTTTTGGGGACCCAAGAAACACAGGTGCAACATTCAGCTCTTCCTTTAGCAGCCTGTCTAAATAAAATGATTGGCTAGAATATGCAGCAGCTGAACACTGCATGGAGCGGTAGTCACTTACGGTTCTAATCATTCAGGAATGTACTCCCCAAATGCAGGAATTCTGCATTCAGGACATATTTCCCGTACGCATATGGCCTTGAATGCAAGTACTGCTCGATACAGTGTACACCTGCAACGTATTTCATCATATCATAGAAGACTGGACATATCTGTGCCTCTCAAGTGCCCAAAAACACTGGGATTTGACGCCAAGGGGCCAAACCACCCATGTGCATTTAGCCATAGTTACTGTATGTATTGTAATCTTTAATTACAATATATGCCCAGCAAAAAATAACTACCATTGTAGATTCTCTTCTTACCAAGATATATCTCTTCCTGGTCCTTCAAAGAGGGCATCTGTCCAGCCTCCTGGTGGATATGCTGTAATGTTAACAGTTCAGATGCGGGCAACAGCAAGTTTTTGTGCAGCTCTTCTAAATCCACAGAGCAGTCTAAAAGTACAGCAAGAAGTTCAAAAAACAAAAAAAAAAAAAAAAAAAAATCGACCTCTAAAATGCATAACAATTTCCTGGGATTATCATTTGGTAACAGCAGTATTAAATGACAGAGGGCTATAGTCAACTACTTGGTATAAATTAAAACACAAAATGAGCATTACTGACCGATGTTGCCCTATGGAATTATTAGCAGCACACTCTTGGGATTTCGCAATTGCATCCTACTCAACATATTTACTATACTGGGCATTAACAACATTCATTAGGGGTCATTCCAAGCATTTTGTTTGCACTTTATACCCTGCTGAGTATTTTTATTGACAGAAACTCATTCAAAATCTGTTCCCAACACCATGCACATTCACCATCATGTATCATGCAAACAATTTAGGAATGCTGAAGAAAACATTTTTTCAATATACAGCTGATTTTGGGGGTTAAAGTCTGCTGGCCTTCTTTGGGAAGGCATCAAACCATTTTCAGATCAGTCCACAAATAAGATTAAGATAAGAAATACAAATGAAAATCTTTGAAGAAAAAAGTGGAAGAGATACTTAGGCCTGCATATTGGCTTTAGTATAGGGAAAAGCTAGTGATCCGTCCCCGTATCTCTTTATAGCTTACAAGAGTTGAGGAGTTGAATCTGGCGGAAGACCTAGTCCTCTTCACGCAAAATAAACATGAGACCTACGCTAAAACCTGGATCCATTGGAACATGTTCAAATACTTGGACAAGGGTAAGGCCCTTCTTGGATCTGACTCTCAGTAAACCACTGTCCGGTTGCCCTCCTTTCAGCAACCTCCCCCCCCCTCTCTCTCTCCCCACCTTTTCTACACCACATCCATGTCTTGGTCCAGTGTTTTTATTCTACCTACTCGTTCATTACAACGAACGAAAAACAAACCCTTTGTTCTGAGCACTCACTGTTCTGTATGGAGAACCGTTAATTCAGTCATAACAGTATTGCTGGTCTATTCATTGGCAGCTGATCAGGTGATCAAATTCTTTGACTAGATGTATATACATGTTTTGGTTAAAGGACAAGTTTGCCTTTGGGACAAAAATAATAAATGCACATTCTTTTGCAGGTAAAAAAAAGTGTGCATTTATTATTTTGTCCAAAAGGACTTCTCCACATATCAGAGAAGGGGGGGGGGGGGGGGGGGGCGCAACGGGCACAGCTGCAGCTATGGAAACAGGTTATATGTTGCACCCTAAAGACAGGTATAACATGTTCCAAAGGTGAACTTATCCTTTAATGCACTTGTTCACTTTACCTTTATACTGATTCTGATATGACCTTGTACTGAACTATATTTCACAGATCTTGTTGTATCTTGTTATCCTAAGAATGTTGGACACCTTCAATAAAGAATTTGCAAAGCTAGTGATCTGTATTCTGATCTGCCTCACAAACATACAGCATTTCAGCAGAAAGAGGGGAAAAAAAAAAAAAAAAAAAAAAAAAAAAACTACAATCTATACCTCAATTTTGTAAAATATGAAAAGAGGATGTTACGGCGAGTAAATAGATACCCAACATGTCACGCTTTAAAATTGTGCACATTTGTGGAATGGCTTGAAACTGCGGTACCTAAAGAGCCCCATGGGCGATGCTTTAAAAATTTCTACAGGTTAGCAGTGTAAAGTTACAGAGGTCTAGTGCGAGAATTGACGTTAGTGTGGCGGTACCTCACATGTGGTTTGAACACTGTTTACATATGTGGGCATGGCCTACGTATGCGTTCACCACTACGTGCGAGGGGGGACAGGGGCACTTTAAACTTTTTTCTTATTTATTTAATGGGGATTGTTTTTTTTTTTTTTTACACTGTCCCTTAAGAATAAAAGTGATTAACATTTTTTTTAATCACAAGAAATGCATGCACATCCCTTGTGATAGAAATAATTAGTGACAGGTCCTCTTTATGGAGAGATATGGGGTCAATAAGACCCCACATCTCTCCTCTGCAATGTAAAGCATTGGATAAAAAAAAAAAAAAAATATATAGCCGAAACAGGAAGTGACATTGCTCCAGTTCTCCAAGGGCATAGAGATGAGTGGTGGCCATCTTTCCTTCACTCATCTCTATGCCCAGTGCCAGGATCAACGGTTTCTCAGTTAAGGCTGAGAACTACAGTGTCGGCAGCGGCGAGTTTTTTTGGCACCTGTATCGGTGCTTTTTTCTCTCTTTCATTTCGGCCAACGGCCGAAAGGGGTGTTTTCAGCCACTGAAATTTCGACACACACACGTATGTACATGCCTATGTATATGTCTCTATAAGTCCCACATAATTCAGAATAATGGCCACACTTCAGAGTTGCATAGTATATGCTCAAATGCATGCAACAAAAACCTCTGTTTTTAATCTAAAGGTTAGAAACTATTTATGGTTATTTTGTTTCTGTGCCGATTAGCTAAATTAAGTGCTGGGAAATCTTTACCTGCTGTGAATTACACACACACACACACACACACACACACACACACACCTTTCCCTTGTATATATAAAATTATTTTATCAGGTGCAAATGTTCAGTCTTATTCTACAGCACACTTTCAAAACACAATCAGCCATGCATGTTAACGTGTCACCTGGTAAAGCATTTTTTTTTTTCAACTTGGCATGCTTTGGTTTCAAACCTGTGGGCAGCTTCAGGAATTAATTTAAATATTAGGCATACCTAGAGCATGTTCATACACCCCTGACATCTGGCCTGTAGGGTGGAACTTCCCTTGGACAAGTAGAGTCTTTGAGGTGAGTAGACTAGTAGATCCAGTAGAGACAGAAGACACAGAGGAAGGGGTATCCTCTCTACTTGCTTCTAAAATTGGGCTGTCGATCACAAAAAGGCAAATATATGTGATATAATATAGTAGCTGCAGGGTGCTTTGCATAGAATAAAAGACCAATTTTGCACCTCAAAATTTCATAGCTATATAGCAATGCTGTTTCATTAAATAGTTTTCAACAAGCAGATTATTTAGGTTACATTAGTGTCTCAAACAGAAATACTGCCACAAGCTGGAAAAGTTCTGTAATAGATTTCCAATTTCTAGAAGTCAGTCTTTATAAAGACTGAAAACCCTACTATGTAAATCATTTGGTCAGGTCTGTTCTTGACTATTCTGAAAATCTATGCCTGGTGCAGTGCATGACATCATGACATAACATTTAGAAAAGTAAGGCAAACCCCCCCCAAAAAAAAAAAAAAAAAAAAAAAAAAAAAAAAAAAGTATATATTCTACTCTTATACCTCAACTTCTTGGGACAAACAACTTGTCGAAAAGATTCCTCACACACTGGAGTTTTCCCTCTTAGTGGAAGCCTCTCCGGATCAGAAGAGATGCTTTCTTCTGACTCGTCCTTGGCCTTGTGGAAAGGAGTGGATGCCAGCTGAGCAGCTCTTACAAAATCACACGTGTCCTCTGGCTCTGCAAACAAAGTTTTGTTCCTGTCTGACCCAGACACTATAGCCTCTTCATTCAGGGGTTCAATACCATCAAGTGTGTCCTATATAGAAAGATCAGGTAGAAATTATCAACCATGAACTACAAAAACAATTTAACAGTAACCTAAATCACAAGCGTTGGGAAAACCACAAACAAAAATAACAGACATGCTTAAATCACATAAATTATATACACCATTTTTATATATATGAGTAACAGCAAATTGATAGCTTACTGTGAGTGGGACATCATGAACAAATACTTCTGAAAGAGTAGCAAGTGGGCGCCGGGCTGGAGGTCGCATCCTATTCAAACTTTGAGAGGCACTATTAAAGAAAACGTATATTTGATAAGCCAAATAAGGAAAGGGACAATCTTTTAATAACTAAGACATTTTCTGTTAGACTCTGTATATTGTACAGATGAATCTGATTACATTTTAAATACCTCCATTTGGTGTCAGATCTGCAAATTTTGTTGTGTTGCTTACAGAAATGGAAAATAAAGAAGGTTGCAGAAGTCAGCACTACAAATGCCCATAAAGGCGTCTGATTTTACCAGATTGTTTATCCACTCTATCCTTCTCCAATTATTTGATTTTGTTTTAGGGCTCGTTCACACTAGGCTGTTTTGCCAACGCTTGCCAAACGCCCCTATAGCGTTTGGCAAGCGTTGGTCCGGTGTTTGCGGAGCGTTTTTAACGCTCGGCAAACGCTCCGCAAACGCCGCATGCGCGGTTTAGCGGCGGTTGCTAGGCGTTTGCCGAGCGTTAATAACGCCCCACAAACGCCTACAATGCATTTGCGTGGTGTTACCGCTCCGCAAACGCCCCGCAACCGCAAACGCCGGCCCGGCGTTTGCGGAGCGGCACCATAGACGAGAATAGGAGGCTTCAAAGCCTCCTGACTCAACCAGAGGCGTCCGTTTTGCCGCGACGCAACGCGACGCAAACGCTCCTGTTAGAACAGCACCATGTGCTGTAATGTGCAGAGTTGGCAGAGGCGTTTGGGAAGCGGTAAAAACGCTTCCCAAACGCCTCTCTGCCGCCTGCACACAAGGCTAGTGTGAACGTAGCCTTAGGTGGACTAAGCAACTGCACTTTGGATAAACACTTTTTTCAATATCAGGTGAGAAAAAGAAAGCACTTACATGCTAGGCTGTGTTTCACATGTTTCATCAAAAATGGTAAATGGCCCATCAGAGGACAGTGTTGACGACAGCTCTGTGAATAAGAATGCAAAGGAATGGATTACCTGCAGCAACTGGATGATGTTAGATGCATTCAGCATAGACAATACAGAGCTATAATATGGCAGCAAAACTCAAAATGCACATAACCTGGCTCCCAGTTCTGAAGACTTCAGAGATGTGGTATTCTCATAACAAATGAAGCGTTTAATATCATCTCAACATTGGCTATAGTAAGAAGCAAGCCAAGAGGATTCTCTGTTATTACTTCCATATGTTTAATATTTCCCACAGCTACTGTTTCTTTTAAAACATTATCAACTAATTCCCCAAACAAAACCTGAACACTGCATATGTGTACATAGAAAATACTAATCAAATGTTCATCTCTACTTACCAGTAAATTTGGGTTTGTTTTGATCCAGATTCAAGGCATCAAGGCTTTAAAAGAAAATACAATATAAACATTTATCTGAAATTCCTAAAACAATTTAAAGCACTGTTTATATAGGTCAACTACAAGGTAAAGGCACATATACACTGCAGCTTGAAGATAAAATGACTCTTGTAATGTGGTTGGATAATGCATAATAGTAGATCAGATCAATACATATCAATATCAAAATATAATGATCAATGTCTGACCAGAAAGATGTAATACTTCATAAAGGGACTAGGGACTAGAAGTCCCAATGTATTGTCTATTTAGGATTACGGAACCACCTCCTACCCACAAAAAATGTTAAAGCTAACAAAATGCTATTAATCTTTAAAGCAGAACTCCGAGTAATGTTTTTTGAATATCCAGCCCGTGTCCTGTCCTTTACTATAAGATTAAAATATTTTCTAGTTTTGAATAACATGAAAAAGGGTCAAAACTCTTGGAAGATTCTCTTCTCACTTCCTGTCCCAGAGAAACAGCAATAAGTGAGTGTAAATCTTCCATTGTGGGGAAACCCTCTTTGAAAATTGCTACAAGGCATTGGGGATTTTCCCAATGTTCCAAGGACAGCTGGAAAATGTTGGGTTTCCCCTTTCTTCTATAGGGTCAAAGGCAGCAATAAAAACCTCAGAGGTTCTAACCCTTCTTTAGGTCTATCCTAAAAATAAAACAAAATAAATCAGAAAGGAAATCCTCAATCCTGCACTGCGATGGATCAAACCACCAGGCCCTTAGAGCCAGGTTATATTGCAAACACATCAGTGGTAAGGAACCTGCAAATTCTAGACTGCACATGTCCATATAAAGGCTAGCCACATACAAACCAATTGTGCAATATCCTTGTAAAGGATCAGCAGGCCTCAGTGTAAACAATATCTAGCGATCGATTATACCAGAGATGACTTAATTTCAGAAACCATATGCTTGCTTGTTCCTATCGATCTTAAAGTTAGACATTGACTGTGTTGATGGGGAAATCAAGTGAGAGAAAATTGCACAGTCTGTGTTGTTGGGGCAATCCTTCCCGTGGAGCCACTGTGTTCTTCCTACTGGGGGAGGCAACCCCACCAAGAGAACACAGTAATTACTGCTAGCAGCTATAAGAGGTGCTGGCAATAATCGCTTGTAAAACCTGACAGGCTGGTTGTATCCAAAGTGATTGAACAACTGGGGTACATTCAGCCTGCCCATACATGGTTCGAAGATTGGAACCATATATGGCTGGCTTACAAAAGTTAAATATGCAACCTCCATGTGAGTTAATTTAAAAAAAAAAAAAAAAAAAAAAACTATCCTTTTAATATCAAATAGTATGTTATACTTACCTGCCCTGTGCAACGATATTGCATAAAGTGGTGGCTTATCCCCATTTTGGCAGTCCCCAACCGCCACTCTGTTCCTCCTTCCAATGGGTTCCCCATCAGCTAGTCATGTGCTGGGGGGAGGGGCACCTGTGAAGGCACACTCCCAAGCTGAGCTGCATGCATCCACAGGCACACACACGCACACGGTAGCTCGGCAACATCCCCCCACAAGATTTGACTGAGAGCAGTGTGAGCCATAGTCTCCCTGCTGCTCAGTGTCTCCTACGAGACCAGGAAGAGAGCGAGCAATGGTGCTGCAGAGAGGACAGCGCAGGTTTGGTGGAGGAGTCAGATAGGTGTTTAGGGAGGGTACACAAGTAGTAGGATATTTTTTTTACCTTCGTGCAGGGAATGCATAAAGCTAAAACAATTAGACTATAGAAACACTTTCATTGTTACTCCTACAGCATAGTACAAACAGACAGAAACAAAATAAATGAGCCAAAGTACATGTTTAACAAATTAAATCAACTGACCAATAGTGCTATGCTATAAAAATAATAGGCCAAACTCGCAGGGGCGGACTGACCATTTGGAAACTCGGGGACTGCCCGAGGGCCCGGGGTCAGTAGGGGGCCCCAGAAGATGCTCCTGGTACCTTTATAGGGTTTTTTGAGTTTGCGCAATGACACAGGGGCCCCATGATCCCCTATTGCCCGGGGGCCCCATGAGTGGTCAGTCCGCCCCTGGGCCAGAGCCCCTATAGTGCATCCCTGACCTCCCTATCTAGGGGATAGAGAGCTCATGTACTTTCCTGGGGCATTCACATACTTCTACTGATTTAAGAAAAACAGCTATTTTACTGTGCTTCTGTCACATGGACATAATACTGGAAAGTTCAAAGCACCCTGCTAAACTTGCACTGCTAGAGAAGTTTATAAAAGGAGAAATGTGTATAATCACACTGGGTAGCTTATATGGGAAATCACATATTTAATATAAAATCTGTTACAATAATTACACAATAGCCTTGAATCAAAGGCACATGAAGTTTACTGAACATACAATTTTGTCAGCAACCTTGTCAGAAAACAGCTTGTCTAAAATTCCCAACCCCCTCCACACTGACAGCATAAGCTATTCTAATGCAATGGATGTTGCAGGCTATTAAAGTCTGGTCTCTGAGCCTTTCGAGTAAAAAAAAAAAAAATAAATAAAAGTTCTAAGTTATTGCTACTAGTAGCGGTTGCAGCACTGAAAGTAGAAGCAAACAGTTCTCTGCAGGGCTGTAATCATTAATATGCTGGGCTCAGTCTACCAAACTATCGCTATTGTAAAGAAATTCTAGCCTGGGAAAGAAAATCATTAAAGGCGAGTAGCAATATGAAACCTAACCCCATGAAAATTGCACTTCTGAAGTAGTTGGCTCCAATACAGAAAATTCAAAAGAACTAAAGAAGGGAGCGCACAAATATCTAGGGAAAGTCTAAAATTGCTTTTTTCATTTGCTCTTAGGTGAACATAAAAATCAGAACCTGCCTTGGTAACAGAAGAGCAGGATGGGCGCATCGCACAGGATCCACATCTTTATTTGAAGATGTACAATTGCTGGACGCTGCGGGCTGCTCAGACTGAGGCTCACTTTCCTCTGTCCCCGGAATTCTATTGGACCCATCAGCTGGTGCTGCCTGTGAATACATTGTAAGTAAATGATGCTGTGACTGCTTCGATCAGCTGCTTATATACATAACTTGCAACACAGAAAATATAGTTTTGCAAAATATAGACATGCAAAACAGAAATAAAAGTTAAATAGGCTTTTGTAGGCTTTATATTGTTGTCGACACGCTTTCTAAGTATATGTATATACTGTATAGGTATGTTTATAGTATGAGAATGGTTAAAACTCCTATGGGGGTATTTGCCGTTTGTGTCCCATTGGGGAACTTTCTCTATTTCCTGTTCTGCAGACACAACAGGTGATGAGGGAAAATTTCTACAAAGATGGGAATTCCCACCTCCACACACTGCTACTGGCCTTGCTCCACCATTGAATGGACATTGAGGTGGAGGTTTTGTGCTTTTTAAGTCAATGCTGGAGATGATCTTACCGTTTTACTCTGGATATCCATTGCTGCACTATATGGGCAATCCACTATCCCAGCATCTGTTGAATTGCTCTAAATTAGCCAAGTCGGTGTCATCAAGGTGATCACACTCATTATGTCAAACAGTGACTTTATTTTTTGACACAATTGGACTGGGACAACCAACTGCATTTTAAATGCACTATACGTCCAAAACCAATCTATAGAAAATTTTCTGATCCCACCAGTTTCCATCACTGGGGTCGCTGTTGGTGACAGTGGGTCTGTCTTTAATAGTTTTGGTGTTACACTACCACCTAGGGATTCATTTCCCTCCAGGAGAACCATCAATACTGGAACCAGCGATTGTTTATGGGCCCTGGGACACGTGTGTATATAGGCCCTGCAGTGCCGTTTTCAATTACTATTGTTAGTTATATACACATATCCTTTTGATTAGCACTTTGCAGGGAATATATACATATAGTATATATGATGTCCTAATTTTGACATTGTATTTAATTTTGTTTGTATGTTTATTTATATGTTGTGGTTACTGTGTGTCACTACAATTTTTATGCATTGCAATTTTTTGCAATGAGTAAATAATACTTTTGAACCACAATTTCTGATACAAGCCTTGTTTGCTGTTGGATTAACCACTTGTCTCATAGAGGGGGCTTTACCCACTGCATGCGACCATTTTTGTATCTTTTCCATAAAGTACCTCAAGACCTGATGCAATCACCGAAATACATTGGCCATTTTAGGATTTAGAAGAATTTGACACTTCTCAAAACTTCTGGATCATGCTCTGGTGCATTTTAAGGAGCCCTTGTGTGTCCAATAGCTGCCTAGCCAGCGCCACTGTATGCCACAAAACAGATGTTATTCCAAATTGTATTACCTTACATCCATACCTTTCAATCAGAGAAAGCCAAGGCTGGCCTTCAATATGTGGTTGAATTCTTTACTTCAATCAATAATGGACAAACTGTATGGACAGGCATGACCATAACAAAGGCATTTCACCCAATCACATAAAAGTCAAACAAAAAGGCTCAAGCCCCTCCAATTTGTATTCAGTAGAATTTTCTAGACAGGAGCTGATAATTCAACGGAGTTCAGTTCTATCACTAAGAGATCTGTATATGTTCTTTACAAAAAAAAATTTAACAATTAACTGCATTTGGATTTCACAGGTACTACGTAGGCTGCTGTTGCTGACCTCTCCTGCCCGACAGCCAAGATGAATCAATGGGCCGCAGTAATTTCTGGGTCACTAACCTAGATGACGAATGCAGATCAAGGATTTTAACTTCACTATGACATCCCTGATTTAAAGATTTGTTTTGGATCAGAGAACCAAGAAGACCACTAGCATTTTCAGAAAAAGCTTTTCATATTTAGACAGCATGGCCTGATAAGTGCAGAGAACTCATACATCAAATTGCTCACATACTAAAAAAGACACCCAATCAAACATTTATCAGGTTTTAATTATTTGGTTAGGAAGGACAGAATGCTAAATTAGTAGATCTGAAGGACATTATACATAGGACAGTCTGATGTGAAACCTCGAAAACTGACTGTAGTGAACACACTTGAGATTGTTTAGATGGTGCAACTATGTTAAAGTTGAAGCAGATTCAACCTTGGTAATGTAGCTTTTATCCTACCTCCATGTCCATTTGTCCTTGGTTTTCAGCGCGTAAGCCTTTTAGCCTCTTCTCCAACTCTTCAATCTGCCTCTCCATCTCCTGTCGACGAAGAGCACTAGCTAGGAGATCATCTGCAAAATCAGAGAGCAATACTAGTGTTTTCAGTACAAACCAATTCACGGAAAATGATTACTTAAAAAAAAAAAAAAAAAAAAAAAAGTACCAGTTCAGTGGTGTGTAAGGGCCTACACACTAGAGCAGTTACTGGCATTTTTTCCGCACTAGAAGAACACCAGTCACCAATAGGACACACAGAAAACTGTTTTCTATGTGCCCTGTTCTCATTGCAACACAGCCCAGAGGTGCAGTGAGGCGAGGTGTGAAAATGCAGACATACTGCACCTCACTGGATGGCACCGCATGTTACTGGTCTGTTGTGCAGTGACAAACTGTCACTTCAAATAAAGTTCAATAAAAAAAAAGAAAAAAAAAAAAAGCTGTGTGATGTGGTAAAATGCACATCACACCGCCCTAGGCAGATCCCCTTGACAACGTCTGTCCGGATGAACCATATGTAGGGGCAGGACGGAATCTGTGATGAAGTCACCCACGCTAGTTTGGAGCAAGCACCAGCGGCATTTGAGATTATGTGATTATACAGTTTGGAGCTTTTTAAGTAGAATTTTACTTTGATCTTATTAAACATTTAACGGTATCGCACTATTAAAGTCCCATCATTTCTGGCTGAGCCATCACATGGAGCACAAAGGGAAAGCGGAGCAGATTACAACAGGGGGATACCACGTGTTCCCTATACGAATAGACTAGTGAAGACCCATGCAGCTTCACGCCTATTTATACCCCCCCCTATGATTTGGGATCTAATGATTCAGTAAGAGGCTGCATAATTAGCGGTGGGGGGGGCGCACTGGTCACATTACTGGGCTTAAAAGATATGGACACAATTTCTTTCCATTGGGCACCAATTCACAAAAAGAATATTGGGGAACTGGAGAAAGTACACAGAAGGGCAACTAAACTCATACGAGGCATGGAGGAGATCAGCTATGAGGAAAGATTAGAGGAACTGAATTTATTCTCTTGAGAAGAGGAGATTAAGGGGGGATATGATCTCCATGTATAATACATAAGGGGGGATATGATCTCCATGTATAAATACATCAGTGGTTCATATAGTGAACTCGGTGTAGAGCTATTCACCCTGAGGCCATCACAGAGGACAAAGGGGCACTCTATGTCTGGAGGAAAAGAAATGTAACCTCTAAAACACGGAACAGAAAGGTTTCTTCACAGTGAGAGCTGTGAAAATGTGGAATAGACTCCCTCAAGAGTTGGTTCTGGCCAGCTCAGTGGATTGCTTCAAAAAGGCCTGGATTGTTTCCTAGATACACAAAATATAACTGGATACCAACATTTATTGGTAAAGTTGATCCAGGGAATATCCGACTGCCTCTCAGGGGATCAGGAAGGAATTTTTTTCCCTGCAGGAGCAAATTGGATCATGCTTTGCTGGGTTTTTTTTTGCCTTCCTCTGGATCAACTGTGGGTATAGGATTATAACTTTTTTATTCTCTATGGTTGAACTGGATGGACTTTTGTCTTTTTTCAGGCAGACTATGTAACTATGAACACATAAGTGTGCGGATTTTTATAGTTCTCACAACTTTCTTTTATTGAACACATACGTGGATGGACTTCTGTTTTATGTGGACTCTCTGGTTTACAATTTTGGTAACTATAATTTGTTTGTATTTGTGTTAATATTTAATTGCCAATTGTCTGCATAGCTTGGATTATCACATACACTGCACAACATTATATAACAAACTGTCACTTAAACTAAAGATCGAATTTATAAAAAAAAAAAAAAAAAAAAAAAAAAAAAAGGAGGGGAGGGTTGTTAGGCTGTGTGATGCGGTAAATAGCGCATCACACTGCCCTCTGCAGCATATCACTGCAGCCTGTAGACTAAACCGCTCTGGTTTGGCATGTGAGCAAGTTCAAACAGGCCCCTAAGTCTTGGTTCAAACCACCGCTCCACGTAGGGCAGCCCATGCATTTCAACAGACTGCCCTACCCGCAAGAAATGTGGGGAAAGACGTCCCTGAACCTTTTGGAAAATCTTGCTGTACTGAACTGCAGAATAAAATAGCACCCCTGCGTGTCTATTAAAGAGCAGCGCATTTCTCTGCATGTTGGGAATGCACACAATTTTTATACACATTACTGACACACAGATGTGAGCCAAGCCCAACGCAGCAGACTGCTTGCATTTACAGCCCTGGCCATTAACCAATTTCTCCTCTCAGGCAGCTGCCATTATAATGCAAAACAAATGTTGAAGTTGCTGGCAGATACACACACGCATCTGCACTGCCTTATATAACACTGCCAGCCCAACTCTGAGGATTACATTACAGCTTGCTGCCTCCTTTAGCACTGATCAATTTTGAAGCGCATGTTCCATCTGGTCCCCCAAACCCTGCTGTGGCTGCTTTAACCCAGACATGGTTCCCGGGTTGCACTGCTGGCTGGTGGGGACTTGCACGAGTTACTAACTGGTGCTGGCTCTCCTGTTCTCACCCAGCATGCCCCTTAGTATTTTCCTCGGCTCCATTGTAGATAGTCTCTGTGGTCTGAAAGCAAGCTGGCAAAGTCAGAAGCTGGCAGCCTGGCAGAGCTGAGATCTGTCTGATGAACACGGTCGATGGGTAGTTTGCGATCAATGAGTTGCCTACCCCCGCTTTAAAGCAAATCTATATTTTTCATATGTAAAGCAAAGAAACAAGTTCTCCTTAATGCACTCTCCTGTATATACTCACCTTCCTCTCACTCCCCTGGCCCTCTAATCAGCTGCTTGAAAAATTCAAGGGGCAGCTAGTATGTCTTAAACTCCCAAACATAATGGAATATAGTCTAGCCTACCAGTGCTTATGTGAGGTGACTGCATTCGTTTTTTTTCAGGCTTTCCCCTTTTTCGTCACATGGCAATTTCTATGAATAACAGAATTCCCATCTAGGGATTGGGAGATTAGCAGTTTACGGAAAAATAAAACTTTGGGGGCTTTTATTTTAGCTTGCAGTAAGTGATAAGAACGCTATTTCTGGCAAGATCAAGAGGTATTTTCTGTAACTGCGGAAAATATTTTTAACCTGAACAACAAAAGCTCATCTAAGGACTGGTAAGGTGAAATATATGTACATTTTTGCTATTGGTTTAGAGATCTTTAAGCTCAGTGTAAATTCTGACCAGAACAACTTGAAGCTTACACAGGGTTCTTTGCTTTCTCGTGCAAACAGTGGCAAGGGGTGAAAAGAAGGAGAGTATTAGAAGCTGGTGGCAGCATTTAATGATTATATTTCACACAGATCAATAGAGCACACGCCAGGATTATCAAATCCCATTATTCAAAAGAAAAAGAAATAAAAAAAAAACCAAACACTTTCTTGCCATGAATACAAACCTGCTGTTATTCTAGCTTCTATCCAAGTTAATGAACTCTGGCTAGCAAGATCTTTACTGCAGAAAAGCGGTTTTCAGTCCACAATGAGATAACAGGATCAAAAAGGATGCCCCCACATTTATAGATCATGACAAAAAACAGTAACAAGGTTTTTAATATGCAAGATAAAGTGTACCTCTAGGCACAGACTGCACAGGCAGGGCAAGTGATTGCAATGAATTACTTCTTTAGTTGTTAAAAGAAATCTGTATGGAGAGAAATACAAAGGCTGCTATTGCTGAGACCTAAGAACTTTGAGCCGAGGAAGAGCATCCAACTAGAAGTCAGAAGAAAGTCAAAACTCTTCATGAGCATGCGTGTTCTGGGTCAGTGACACGAAGTATGAAAGTCTTTGGATATGTACTGTATTATCTGGTAAATAACATTTACAAAAGTTGTTCAGAATGGCAACCAACTCATTTTCTTAAAGGATACGTTCACTTATGCCTGAAAAGCACTGCACCCTCGATCAACAGATAGCAGGTGTCATGCGGGACTCTTTAAATTGGGACAGCGAGCAGGGGATCGGGGGTGTGTGGGGGCCGGTGCCACAGTAAAATGGTAAAGGTTACACCCTAAATATTAGTGGAACATGTTACGAAAGGTGAACGTATCCTTTAATACAGATTGTAATAAATACTATGAAGCACACAGTGAATAAAATACATTTGTGAAAATTGGACTACCTGCTCTCTTCTTGCGGAGCTTTGCAATGTAAATTTCTGCACGGATTTCCTCGAACGAAAACTCCTCTACTCCGGCATAGACTTTGTTTTTACAGTACATAACCATCTCCTCTTTCCCTTGTGTGCTGTTCTGCAGTCTCTGTAGAGGATCCTCCTCCTTGCCAGGCTTCCGAGCACTCAAGACACTAGTAACTGAGGGGTTAATCTTGCATGGTGTACTGAGAATCAAATAATAAAGGGGAATATATATATGAAAGTGAATATATGCCAATTATCTCTTGCTCACACTGCGTCCACATCCACAAACTGTTATGATCTACTCCCTTCTTACACCCCTACATCAAGTCATGAAGCTTCTGTAATATAAGGTCACTTATTTGTATTTCTTTAAATTAAAGATAGATGACTTAAAGCGGAGCTCCACCCAAAAGGCGAAGTTCCGATTTAAGCCTTTGTCCCCCGCTCCCCATTAAGGATTGGCACCTTTGGGGAGCGGATACCCGAATTTGACAGGTACCAGCTCCCACGTCCGCTGCGATCACCTAGGCGATTGGAAGCGGAAGTTGTCCTCCCCTCCCCGTAGTCTTCTGGGACACGTGACAGGTCCCAGAAGACTACGGGCCATTCACAAAGCGCAGCACTTCTTGCGCATGCGCAGTGGGCACCTGGCTGTAAAGACGTAAGCTGTCAAAGCCGGATGCCCACACTGAACATGCCGGCGCCAGGGAGAGAAGAAGGCAGAAGCTACAGTTTTTGTAGCTGCTGAGTTTTTTTTTTTTTTTTTTTTTTTTTTTACAGGTGGAACTCCGCTTTAAAGTGTATTTCCGCTTTTGCAGTTAACTTTAAGAAACCTCCACTACACAATGTTTGTTATGAGTCTCCATTCACAAAGCACAACTAAAAAATATACATTCTTACCTTTTAGCTGTTTGGAGCAGGTCTATACATAGGACACTAGAAGGCTTCTATTGCTTTGAATAGATGCCAATTGTACAGAGAGGGGACAATTGTGTGGGACTTAAACATAGTGAACTAGTCAGGCATGGAAATATTTATTATTTTGTTAGAACAGAGAATCCCCTAGTTTACAAGTGATAAAAAGGTGCCAGCACAGTACAGACAGGGTTAATTATGGCAAACACAAATCCCAGTCCCCTCGGAGAACAAAGAAGGATTTTTCAGTCCTGGAATTTCCGTAAAAGAGCAACTTAAAGTAAACAGCAAGTTTTCAATATTTTGCTATGTGAATGGAGCATTTAGCAGTCATAAAGTAGGTGCCATCTCAACTTGGGTGCAAAAGTGGATATATACTTCAAGCTAAAAAAGGAAAGTAAGCAACTAAATACAGTTGAAACATACAGTTAGGTCCATACATATTTGGACACAGACCCAAAAACCTTGAGACCCACAGGGCTGTTGTGTTTTTCATTAAAATGGTTGGGAATTGAATGCCCCTCACATCCATGTTTGATATTTCTTTTATGTTCTCCAAATCTAATACGCAATGTGCGGGTTGTGCGACCCACATATAAAAGGCCGCAAGGGCAAATGAGACAATATACCACGTATTGTGAGCTACAATTAATGGTCTAACCTTGTAGGAAATACCATCATTGCCCACTACTTTTTTCCTATGCCACATGAATTGGCAACACCCACAGTTACTTGTTCCACATCTGTAGCTGCCCCCCAGTTGGTCTCAGGGTTTTTGGGCTAGAAAGCATTCCCAGAGACACCGACACTGGCAGACAATTTTGTTGATTATGTCAGAGAGAAACCTTGTGGATTCACTGTCTGGGGACTTTGTCACCTAGAGGGCTGAATGAAGGGATAGATATAAAAATGCTGATCCACTGATATTACACTGGTAGATGATTTTGAAGATTATGCCATAGAGGGCCATAAAGTAGGGCTAAATGTAATGTTCTGATCCATTGATAATATATTGCTTCCTCCATAAATTCGTCATTTCCACCCACTATCTTACGCCAGTTTATTTTCACCTTGATATGCATCTATTAGTGTTATGAATTTTATACACCCATTTTTTTTATGTACAATAATAATTTAAATGTTTGTTTTCATAATATATTACTACATTTCACAATAGCAAACAATGCTCCCATTCTTCCTCTTTTTCTTACGTTTATTATTTTTTTAGTTATTTAATTCATTAATTTGTCATCCACTCATTCATTATCTCGGTATACGGACACTCTTCCTCTTTTTTTCCCCCTCGTTATGTGCCCTAATGTGCTGAATTCACACCAGGTGTGGCGCCACAGCAGCACATCCCCGGTCTCTTCCGGGAGGTGCACGGCCCCCCTTGGTGCGCTCCAGCAGCTTGGCTTGCGAGCACCAGATATGGAGTCACCACGACACACTTCCGGTTGGCTACTTACGGCCTTTGAAATGCACAACCACACTGGCGTGCGTTCCAGTGGCCATTTTAGTTTCACTTTTGCCATTCTCCAGTCACTTCTTTAGAATAGCACATACCAATTTTATTCTCTATGGCATTCTTTAACACCAAAAAAAAAAAAAAAAAAAAAAACAAAGATGTGGGTTTCATTTTGAGGTATGGGGATATTATATTGTTGTTCTCAACACTACTTACAGGTGAAAAATTAGAATATCGTGCAAAAGTTCATTTACGTCAGTAATGCAACTTAAAAGGTGAAACTAATATATGAGATAAACTCATTACATGCAAAGCAAGATGACAAATCACGGCTTGAACTATCTTGCTTTGCATGTAATGAGTCTCTCATATATTAGTTTCACCTTTTAAGTTGCATTACTGAAATAAATGAACTTTTGCACAATATTCTAATTTTGAGTTTCACCTGTATACCTCCCTATTTCACATCTAAGTTGTTTTTATATGGTTTGCCCAGTGTATGGATCTTCATCTTTTTACTATTACAATGCACTATAATGTTTTTAACACTATTTTTATATTCATTTGTACCATTTATGTAGTCATTCCTGTATATATACACGGTTTTAACAATTCCCATGATCCTCCCTTTTTTGGGCTCGAGGGGACGGCTTTGCTATAGGCGGCACTAGCCGCAGACAGAGCTATGGCCAGCCTAGATACAGGTCTTGCTTTATGAGGAAAGGGATTCGTCCCCGAAAAGCATCAGGCCGACCAATTGCCCAATTACTTTTGGTCCCTTGAAAAAGGGGGGATGGCTACTCTAAGAGCTGTAATTCCTAAACCCTTCCTCCAATTTGGATGTACATACCCTCAATTTAAACCTGAGTGTGCACTTTCAGCTTATATCCATTATAAACAAAAATTGTGCCCGTGTTCAAATACAGCGCATCCAGAAAGTATTCACAGCGCTCAACTTTTCCCACATTTTGTTATGGTACAGCCTTATTCCAAAATGGATTAAATTAATTTTTTTCCTCAACATTCTACAAACAATACCCTATAATGACAACGTGAAAGAAGTTCATTTTGAAATCTTTGCAATTTATTAAAAATAAAAAACACGAGACTGGGACGGAGATTCACCTTCCAACAGGACAACGACCCTAAACATACAGCCAGAGCTACAATGGAATGGTTTAGAGCAAAGCATAGTCATGTGTTAAAATAGCCCAGTCAAACTCCAGACCTAAAGCAAATTGAAAATCTGTGGCAAGAGCTTGCAAATTGCTGTTCACAGACGCTCTTCCATCCAATCCGACAGAGCTTGAGCTATTTTGCAAAGAAAAATGGGCAAACATTTCACTCTCTAGATGTGCAAAGCTGGTAGAGACATCCCCAAAAAGACTTGCAGCTGTAATTGCAGCGAAAAGGCGGTTCTACAAAGTATTGGACTCCAATATATGCACGCCACACTTTTCAGATATTTGTAAAAAATTTTGAAAACCATTTTCCTTCCACTTCAAAATTATGTGCCACTTTGGTCTATCACATTAATTTTTTTGGTTGTAACATGACAAAATTTGGAAAATTTCAAGGGGTATGAAAATTTTCAAGGTACTGTAAGAATTGTTAAGCTACAATATTACAGTTTTATTTTGGGGGTTTAACATGGATTTAAAGTAAATCCATGTCTTGTTCAGGTAAGGGGGAAACACAAAAAAAAAAAAAAAAAAAAAAAGATTTAAATTGTCATTCAGGTTTTCACAGGCACATATTACTTCAATTTAAAAAGGACTATGGACTACCAGCAATTTCATACCAGGGAGGTACTGGGTATTTCCTTCAGCTCCTGGCAATGAACGGAGGTGAGGGATTAAAGGAAAGGTATGTTCTGCTAGCAAAAGGGAGGTTATAGCAAACCTGTTGCTTTGCTCTGAACAGGTAAAATATAGGTTTGTTTCAACATTGGAGTCACGGGGTGTTTGAAAACATGTCTAATTCCACCAACACAGAACCATCTATAAAAGCGGTAAATTATAAAAATATATACTAAACTGGTGAATCGCTTACACCAAAGCAATCATTTCTAAAGTAACATTATACCAATATATGCACACAAAAATTACATAACAAATATCAGAAACAAGGTGATATGTCAAAATAAATCCAGCCACAGGAGGTCAAATGCGCTTCTATGCATGTACCAATTGTATGTCTCACAGTTCTCCCAAAAAGTGGTTTGCCAATCTCCCAGGGATATTAATGGCATGAAAGAAGCATAAAAACCAAAATAGTGCAGACTGCTATGTCTTTATTAAATAAAATAAAGATGCGCTCACATATATGAAAAGGATAATGGACATCTAACATCAGCTATGGAAGATACAACATCCAAACATGGTGTTCTGACTCTAGGCTTTGAGGAAGCCGATTACGGCGCAACGCCTCACACAGGAGGTGACGTCTTCGCACTGGGTGGAATCAGAATGCCATGTAAGGATGTATCTTCCAAAGGTGCGGTGAAGCTCTATTATCCTTTTCATATATGTGAGTGCATTTTCGTTTTATTTAATAATAATTATTTAATAAAAAAAAAAAAAAAAAAAGACATAGCGGTCTGTCCATCAGACAAGGTGATACCCATAGAGTGTGGTGAAGGACACTTGGGTAATCATATGCTAAGAAATTATATCTTGTAAGCTTTAGAACACAGGAGGTATGTGAAGGCAATCAGGATTTTTTTCACAGGAACATTGGATGGGGTATGGGACTTAACATACATACATTTTTTTTGTGTGCATATACTGAATGTTATTTTAGAAATAATTGCTTTGGAGGAAGCGCTTCACCTATTTAGTATAAATATTTATAATCTGTGACACAATTGGCCATTTGGAGGTAGCTGCTTTCATGTACTAGATTGGATGGTCTTTATATCAGTGTTTTCACTTCTAATAGCTCAGGAGGGTTTATTTTTAATTTTGGCAAATTATAAAATCAACATATACAAACATATATGCTTAGATTGGAAAGCTTTATCCGTCAGCACAGGGGCATCCTAAGCAAATTTGCGAAGATATGGGGCCCATAGCTGGATACCCCAGGCCTTAGTCCTACTGATCCTATTATGGAAAGAATCTTATTGTGAGATTGTATGTGGTAGATTCTCTTATTATTTGTACAACATATTTCTATTGACATGATATTATTGGTGACTGTGCTAGTGCCATGCAATGTGTACTGGTTGCACTGAATTGTTCTTGTTCTCTTGGACTCTCAATAAAATCCATTTTTTTTTCAAGAAAAAAAACAAAAAAAAAAAAAACACATGCACATAACATCTAATAAATGACCAGAGAGCATTTAGGTAAACAATAGCCTCATGGTTAAATTGTCACAATTGTTACCTGTGCTGCCTATAACAACTGCTAATGTTCAACTGCAGTTTAGAAAATGAAAGTGAGAAAAGGGAAGGTCACCATGTACAACACAGGCAGATAGATTATGGGCGCTACAAGAGGTCGTTCTTTCAGTGTCTAAATATTCTGACTTACTTCTTTACATGGACAATTCTACAGAAATTATGATATACTTTTAGGTGGTGTACATATCTGCAAAGATGTAAACTAAACCTGAATAAATCTTACACTGTCTGCTGCTGTGCCAGTTCATCCACATAGGGTGTGAAGCTAGGAAGACTGGAACCTGGGTCATGGCTGGAAGTCTGATGGGTGCTGCGTGGTGGCTGAAACAAAACAATCATATAAAAATGAGTTCAATGAAAACAGCTACTATAAAGATTGTACCCTTATTTCTGTTCATGATATAGGTCTTGCTGTAGTAAAAAAAAAAATTGCAACTCAGCCTATAGTAAAAATTAAAAAAAGTATACAATGTTCATATAACACGTTAAACCAAGCTAAAACGAAATCAGTTTGTTACCTATAACATCCAACTTCAAATGTCATTTATCCATTATCCCTGCTGCATTCACACTTGAGCATTTTGTAGTTTGAAGCGCGAAGCTACAAAAATGCTCAAACGTAAAACAAAAATAAATTTTTCTCTATGGTGCCTATTCACACCTAATTGCACGACTATAAAGGAAAAAGTGATTTTTTTTTTAAACATTGAGCGTTTTTGTGGCCTAAAGCTTCAAGCTACCAAACGCTCAAGTGTAACTGCATCTTAATAAATCTTTTGTACTTTGCTTTCCATGCTCTGAATTTACGCATGCCAAAGTATGCAAAACTTCATAATATGGAACCTACAAACTACTGTAGCTGATGCAGTAAAGTTATTGTGAAATGAAATTCATGGCAACCCATCAGAATTCAAATAATTATGGCAATCTGTAAATATTTTATTTTTTTATCTCCAAGCCATCATCCTAGTCCAGGAAGTTTCTGACCCTGCATGATGCCTGAACAAAGATGGCTCAGTCCTGCAGATAAAAAAATTTAAAAAAACACAGATGAAAAGCATTGCCTGGAGTAAAAGGGATATCTTTGTGAGAGGTAATGAATACCTGTCAGCTTGAGAATTATACATCTTTAACATAAAGAAATAGCTAATGGTAGGTGTTCAGGGGTCTTTTCAGATCTGCCTTTTCTCCTTACCCGGCCAGAGCTCCAGGGCCCTGCTTTTTGCTCATTTTCTTTGGCCCGCGATTGAGGCAATGCTGTCCAGGGTTGAGCAGAAAGTGTTGGCTGACTTTCAGGGGCAACAATGGCTGCATTTTCATCAAACACAGTAAAACGAGTGCGGCTGGGGATTTGTTGCGGGGGAGCCATCGGAGCGCTAAAGTTTTGGCTAGAGCCTAAAACAGACAGAAAAAAAAAAAAACAAAAAACACTAATCTGGTAACTTGCTCCATCATGTAATGCTTAAAGGCCAACTGAAGCCCTATTTATTTCCACTCAAGTGAATCAAGAATTTTCAAGGCAAGACAGCATGTTAATAGTAATAAGGAAGTTACATTGCAGTTATGGTAAACTATGCAATTATAATACATTTAGCTTAAAAAGGAAGCTCTTGTAAATTTGTTTTACCATTAAAATAAAGCGTTATACTCGCCTGTTCTCTGCGCAATGGTTTTGCACAGAGCAGCCCCAAACCACCCTCTTCTGGGGTCCCCCACCAGCGATCTTGGCTCATCCTCTTCTGTGTCTGCCTCCATAGCAAGCACTTGCTGTGGGAGCAGATGTTCGGGCTGAGTGCATCCACTGTTTCACCTTTCAAAACAGATTTCTTCTGCACTTTGCTAGACATGGATGGAGGAGGTGGGAGAGACCAAGTATAGCTTTTACATTATTTTCCAAAGCTATTGGCAATAGAGCAATATGCTCTAAAGGGTTGTGGGAGCAGCTAGACATGGCTATAAAATGAGAAGGCTATGAACCCCACCAACATCAAATAATCAGCTACAGCAAAGCAAGGGTTGCTTGCCAATACTGCTGTGATTTCACTGAAGACGAAGAGAATTGTCACCCTATCAAAGGAAGTGCCTATGCAATGGTTCTATTGGCAGGAACAACAGGTATTTACAATAGGTTTCAGTGAGTACTGAAAGTGGGCCAGGCCTTAGTGGTTATAGGCAGCCTACATAATATATTATAGTTTGACCAAAATCCCACTTAACCATTTGTCCTCCAGAGGATTTAACCCCCTTCCTGATCAGGCCATTTTTTGCGTTCTGGCGCTACATTTTAACTGACAATTGCATGGTCATGCAACGCTGCACCCAAAAGAAATATACATCATTTTTTTCCCATGACTAGAGCTTTTTGGTGATATTTGATAGCATGTGTGTTTTTTATTTTTTGCGCTACAAAAAAGCTCAACAATTTTGAGAAAAAAAACAAACAATATTTTTGACTTTTTGCTATTAAACATGTCCAGTATGAAAATTTAAAAAATCTAATTTAGTCATAAATTTTGGCCAAAATGTATTCTGGTACATGTCTTTGCTAAAAACAAATTCCAATACGTGTATATTAATTGGTTTCTGGGAAAGTTATAACATTTACAAATGGCGGTATATATACTGAAATTTGTTTTCAGTTTCAATCAGCAACTTATAGCAGGACTGCGGCAGGAATTCTGACACTGGGGGAACTGACTTGGTGTCACTGACATCCTCAGTGACACCTATTCAGTGACAAGTGCTAATAAAAAGCACCGACACTGTACTAATGACACTAGGGAGGAAGGAGTTAACATCTGGGGCGATCAAAGGGTTAACTGTGTGCTGTTTCACATTATGTGCTGTGTGTGCGCTTCACTGTAAGCTGTAATGTTTACATGCAGTTCTCTCCCCCGTCAGTATTACACGGTGATCACCAGGTGCCGGCGAGTAAACACCTGCTGGGACCTGGTGATTGACAGCCAAGGCCGTGAATGGCGGAGCGCCCCATACCCAAGGAGAGATGAGAGAGAGAGGAGAGAGAGAGAGAGAGAGAGAGAGAGAGAGAGAGAGAGAGAGAGAGAGAGAGAGAGAGAGAGAGAGAGAGAGAGAGAGAGAGAGAGAGAGAGAGAGAGAGAGAGAGAGAGAGAGAGAGAGAGAGAGAGAGAGAGAGAGAGAGAGAGAGAGAGAGAGAGAGAGAGAGAGAGAATTTTGCACACCCATGCTGCCCTGTAGCAGTATTTCTGCTATAGGGCAGACGGCAAGCGGTTAAAGTAGAACTTTAGTCAGAAAATTTAGTCCTGCTAGATCGTTTAAGGGTGGCCCCTTTTGGTATAGCTATGTAAAAACATACAAAATAAGTGCCTTTGAAAGCCCGTAGGGGAATAAGGTTTTGTTTAGATGTAAACCAATGTGCAAATGGGGGCTCTGGGTAATTATTATTATTATTATTATTCAGTATTTATAAAGCGCCAATAGTTCGCTCAGCGCTGTACATTACAAAAGGGAGACAGAACATGTGACAGAACAATACCAATACAATGCAAGACATTAGGGGATCAAGGGCCCTGCTCTTTCGAGCTTACAATCTAGGAGGGAGGGGGTAATCAATTTTACCTACTTAAATACCCAGAGTATTTCTGGGATCTGTTTTTTTTTTAAATGCATCGATTGGAATGGGCTTTGGTACACTCCAAAATATATTTGAATCTGTTTTTTGGTTTTGGTTTTCTGTTCTTTATAGAAAAGATATATGCGATGTTGGTAACATTACTATGCTACATTGGCTTGTACCTTTTTCCTTTCTATTTTGGGAGTACGTTGGAGGCATAGTATACAGTGCCTATACGGTTTAAAATTCAGAAATACACTGTCTCACCCTGTTCTGCACATGCTCAGCTGCTCTCTTTTTTAGGCACGGTGTTGAAAATGTAGAAGCTGATCTGCTGACACCCTAAAGATTTGCTACTGCTCAGGGGCTCTGGACTTCAGTAAAATAGCAGCCTCCAGCAAGAAGAAACAGGAACAATGTTGGAGACAATTTACACCACACACTAATTTCAGCAGTATAATTATTAATACACAATGCATGTTCCTTGGTGAAGAACTTTTTTTTTTTTTTTTTTTTTTTTAAATGGGTAAAGTTTTGCCAGGTACCCGCTGCCACTTCCAGCTCAGTTTGCCGTGGCGAACTGACCCGGAAGTTCGGCCCCCCCTCATTCAACCAGCAGCCTTCTGGGACAATTCACAGAAGACTGTGGCCCATTCACAAAGCGCAGTAGGAATCCAGCTGTGAAGCCGAAAGGCTCTATGCTGCTTGGTCCCTTGCCCCCTTCCACAGCCCAAACTCATATGGTTCTATCAAAACCCAAGTCAGGACAGTACCCGCTCTGCATATTGGCCCACATCTCTTCTAAACTAGGATTTAAAACTTGCTGCCAGATTGATTACGTTCCTCCGTTCTTGGTGAATATAGACCAAACTGGTTTCATGTCAGGTAAATCTACGGATATTAACCTCCACAGAGTATATACCCATTTGCAAATCTCTTCTGAACACCAGGATACCAGACTGTTTCTAGAGTTAGACCTTGAAAAGGCATTTGATTCAGTTGAATGGCCCTATATGACACTGGTGCTTGAAGAATTTGGATTTAGTCCAATTTCCATAAATGGATGAGTGTTTTGTACCAACAGCCAATGGCCCAAATTCAACTTTGGGGGGACCTGTCCTCTGCTTTCCCTATTGGGAGGGGGCCCCGACAGGGCTGCCCCCTTTCTCCGGGGTGTTCGAGTCATATCCATCGAAGAAAAAGTGGCCTTGTACGCTAATGACATTCTCTCCCCCTCCAGGATTCAGGCCCTTCGCTCAGAGCAGCGTTGGAACACCTTTCTAGTTTTACCAAACTGTCAGGACTGAACATTAATTGGGACAAATCCCTGATACTAGACCCCAGCGCACCTCAGGAGTTGGATCAAGCTCTCCCTCTGAGGCTTATGAACACTAATACTTGGGAATACACATTTCCCCTAGGATACAAGATTAGGCTCAATCTCTACCCACTTCTACAACTATTTAAAACTGAATTGAATGCTTGGGATAACTTACCCTTATCTTTGACTGACAGGATAAATTTACTAAAAATGAAACTGCTTCCTCCCCTGCAGTAGGTCTTACGCCATTCTCTGGTGTGGACACCAAAAGTCTATTTTCAAAAACTTTAATTCACATGTCTCCAGCTTCCTTTGTGGCTCCTGCCCACCTAGATTTCCATTACCTCTGCTCCAAAGACCCTGGACTCAGGGTGGATTGGCCTGCCCGGATTTATACTCCTGTTCTATAGCTGCATTACACTCCTATGTCCACAACTGGCTAATCTCCGATGATACAAATTTCAGCAGTGATTGTAAAAGGCTGCCTACAACGGGTCATTTGAAACACTAGGAAATTCTTTGTTCCTGGGTTCCCCATTTCCTCATGAATTCCATGAAGATAGTCAAGGCCTGGACTCAGGTCTCTCTTTCTGTGCGGAAGTCTGCATTCACACTTGAGCAAATTGTAGGTTGAAGCTCCAAAAACTCTCAAACTTCAATTGTTCAATGGTGCCTGTTACCGCAATCAGGTGTAAAAAAGGCACCATAGCAAAGAATTGATTTTTTTGAAATTTGAGCAGTTTTGGAGTGTCAAGGTTCAAGCTACAATTCGCTCAAGTGTAAATGCAGCCTAAGAATTACTCTTCCAATACTCATCTCTGGATGAACCCAATGCTTTCAGATTTTTTTTTTTTTTTTTTTTTTTACTAATCCAGACCAAATCCCTTTGGGCTGCTGGTGGTGTGCACTACATGGCCAAATCTGCAAGAATGGTGCCCTAAAGACCTTAGATAAATTGAACTGCTGCTTCAAAGAATCAAATTCTTATTTTTTTCTGTTTCCTTTAACTATTTCATGCTTTCTCCTCACAATTTGGCAGTTCCCCCTTGAATTTACAACAATTTGATATGGAATAGATCCTTTGGGACGAGACAATTAAAAAACACCCATTTCAACTATTTATAAAGCCCTAGAACCTACAATAAATCATGGTTTTTATGCTTTAAGGACCTCCTGGATGGCTGAGTTACCACTGGGCAGAGGATTGAGAGGACATATGGGAATACCCATTTTTACAACTTGCATCTTCTAGGGATCGTTAATTCAGTTTAAAATCCTGCACAGATTCTATTTAACGCCCCACAGATTTCACAGGATCTATCCAAACTGCCCTTCCCATTGCTGGCGCTGTCAAGCAAAGCCAGCTGACTATATTCACATGCTATGGTCTTGTCCATCCCTCCAAATTTTCAGGTCAAAAGTCCTCCATTTTGTTATACGTTTAACAACCATCCCTATTCCACAGCAGGCGGACATATGTCTTCTTGGGATGGTGGAGGCCCTGGCCCCAGCATGGCTATCAATACATTGTTGGGGCTACTAATATTTTGTGCTAGAAAATCTATTGTACTTAAAGCGAAGCTCCAGTCAAAATCTAAAAAAATAAGACATCAGATACAAAACTTGTACTAGCTGACTTTTAAAAGACACTTACCTGTCCTTCGTTCCAGAGGGTGGGGCGATACTTGGGATGAACTACTCCTTTAAATTTTGGCCCGAGATGTCTGTGTGGCACCTTGTGCCTCACAAGTAGCACAAATGGGTTATTTACCTTGTACTGTTTATTGTTAATTATGTTTTGTATTCCAAACCTTTATTGAAAACAAGAAGAATTTTGGAAAAAAAATCCATTCCAGCAGAATAGAATTTGGTGGAGTGCATTAGAGAAAAACTACTCATATACACATACATTTAGAGTTCAAATACAATTTTGAGATTGTGAGTCCTTTTCTCTATTAAGGCGTTTTTAGAGAGAATAGGAAAAGCAGTTTTCTGAAGTACAACTTACGTTTTAGGGCATCTCCCACTCTGCTCACTGGCGCTTTTACTTTATTTTTTCCTCTGGCTTTTAAATCCACCAGAGAGCTGCGCTGAGGTTCAGAGGATTCCGTCTCTTCAACCTCTCCATCAGCAATATTTTGTAACACTTGGCGAGAAACCCGGGCCTGGAACTGCCTGCAAAAACATTATGAGGGAAACTCTCATAATTTTATTAAACACAATTGCAGCACAAAATTGCAGAAAAGTAATGTGCCATACCATCCGTATATGTAAGATAGATAGAAATGATGAGCTTAAAATAGACCCTTCCCCCCCCATTTTGGATAGCGTAGGTGAGGGTTATAATCCCCGCCAGATTTATTTTTGCTATATGTGTCCCACTGGGAAGTTTTACCTTCACTTCCTGTCCCACTATCAAAACAGGGCGTGAATCTCTTGGGGCGCACAGAACTAGTGTTCCCATTGGAAGATTTACCCTGGGGACAACCCGAAATTTTGGATTTTCTTTTACTTTCAAGCTGCATTTCACACTTTCATGTAGCGTGAACAAGCGCCCCCGCTTGTGATTTTGTTAATAAATTTGCAATTGCTTGTGTGTGTCGCATATAGGGCAGCTTATTCACTTTATGGGCTGCACTACAAACAGGCCACTGGGAGATCATTGCCTCTGTTTACAGGTTCGGAATTTTATACAAGTAATCCTGTGGGGTTTTTTCGTTGTTTTTAACTCTGTTCATTGAATATGACATTTACACTGCATTCCATTGTTCTACCAATAAAGACAGTTACAGCAAAAGTACAATGTAAAAAAATCCAAAACCAAAAATTCAAAATAAACTCTGGCACACTTTTAAATATATAACACACATTTCTTTCCTTTATTTTGAGGATTATGGCTTACAGCTAGTCAAAACCCAAAATTCAGGATCTCAGAAAAGTAGATTACACAAGCCCAGACCAATAATAAATAATTATAATAATACACACACTTGTGTTCAAAATAATAGCAGTCAGACATCACTAACCGGATCAAATCACTGTATTTGGTAGAAATGATATTTCTACGTGGCAAATAATTTACTAGCAGGTGTAGTAGAGTAATAGAAATCCAACAAACCCAACAGTCATGACATGCATACTGCGGATTCTGTGTAATTGAATCACTAATTGAAAGGGGCATGTCCAAAATAATAGCAGTGATGAGTTCTATTAGTGAGGTCATTCATTCTTTGAAAAACAGATGGCAATTATTGCCTTTATTTAAGGAAGGAAGGCAGCAAATGTTGTACATGCTGGTTACAGTGCATTTCTCTGAGCTTTGATCGCAAATGCTTTAAAATGGCAGCCAAAACCTGAAAGACGTGGAAGAAAGTGAAAAACTACCATTCGAATGGATAGAAGAATAGCCAAAATGGCAAGGACTCAGCCAACAATCAGCTCCAGGAAGATGAAAGGTGGTCTAAAAGTTCCCTGTGAGTACTGTTACAATTAGAAGACGCCTATGTGAAGCCAAGCTATCTGCAAGAAGCCCCCCGCAAAGTCCCACTGTTGAATAAAAGACATGCTGAAGAGGTTACAATTTGCCAAAGAGGAAATGCCCTTGAAATGGGTGTTCCAACAAGATAACAACCCCAAACACACCAGTAAACGTGCAACATCTTGGTTCCAGACCAAAAAGATTGACGTTATGGAGTGGCCAGCCCAATCCCCGGATCTTAGTCAAATAGAAAACTTGTGGGGTGACATCAAAAATGCAGCTTCTGAGGCAAAACCAAGAAATAGAGAAGAACTGTGGAATGTAGTCCAATCATCCTGGGCTGGAATACCTGTTCACAGGTGCCAGAAGTTGGTTGACTCCATGCAACACAGATGTACAGCAGTTCTCAGAAACAGCGCTTATACAACTAAATATGAATTAAGTGATTCAAAGGAAAAGCAAAATCTTCAAACATTTTTCAGTTTATATAGTGAATGTTTGAGTTTGTAAAGAAGAATACAAACACTGCTATTTTTTTGAAGTCTAATATTCACTTTTCTTCAATTTTTTTTTTTAGAGGAACACCACAAATTTGATATATTTTTCTTCAGGTTTTGATTTGGAATAGAATGTGTAGTGTTCCCAATGCATTTGTGTGTATGGAAATAAAAGCTATTAGAAGGATTTTTAGCTTTATTCACTTTTTCAAACACACTGCTATTATTTTGAACACAACTGTATATAAAAACAGAAATTTTGGCTAACCGAAAAGCATGTCCATGTACAGTATAGTATGCATTCAATACTTAGTCGGGGCTCCTTTTGTATGAATTATTATACAGGATTTATATAGCGCAGACAGTTTGCTCAGCGCTTTACATTATGGTGGGAGACAGTACAGTAACAATACAATTCAATAACAGAGGGGTTCGAGGGCCCTGCTCCTTGGAGCTTACAATCTAGGAGGGAGGGGATAGTGGTACAAGAGGTAATAACTGTGGGAGATGGAGTGGTTAAAAGAGTAGAGGATTTCAGTATTAGATGGGGGCGGGGTAGGCTTCCCTGAAGAGATAGGTTTTCAGAGTGCCCCTAAAAGTGAGCAGAGTGGGCAATAGTTTGATGGATTGGGGTAGGGAGTTCCAGAGGATGGGGGAAGCCCTGGAGAAGTACCGGAGATGAGCATGGGAGGAGGAGACAAGGGAGCTAAAGAGTAGGAGGTCTTGTGAGGAGCAGAGTAGTGGTGATGTCCCTACGAATTGCGTCAATCTTGTTTTTGAAGTGGTTAGCAATCTCGTGTGCGGCAAGTGAGGTACTGGGTGGAGGTGGGGGCGGAGAAAGTAGAGAGTTAAAAGTAGAGAGAGCCGAGGAGGACTGGAGGAGAAGGTGTTAATGAGGGTAACAAAGTAGGCTTGTTTGGCAGCGTGAAGGGAGGAAGGGAGGAATTACTGCATCTATATGGCGTGGCATGGAGGCAATCAGCATGTGGCACTGCTGAGGTGTTATGGAAGCCCAGGTTGCTTTGATAGCTGCGTTCAGCTCTTCTGCATTGTTGGGCCTGGTGTCTCATCTTCCTCCTGACAATACCACACAGATTCTCTATGGGATTTAGGTCAGGCAAGTTTGCTGGCTAATCAAGCACAGTGATAACATGATCATTAAACCAGGTATTGGTACTTTTGGCAATGTGGGCAAGTGCCATGCCCTGCTGGAAAATTAAATCAGCATGTCAATAAAGCTGGTCAGCAGAGGGAAGCATGATGTGCTCTAGAATTTCCTGGCAGAGGGCTGCACTGACTTTGGACTTGATAAAGCACAGTAGACTAACACCAGCAGATGACATGGCTTCCCAAATCATCAATGACTGTGGAAACTTCACACTGAACCTCATGCAACTTGGTTTCTGTGTCTATTCACTCTTAATCCAGACTCTGGGACCTCAATTTCCTAATGAAATGTAAAATTTACATTGGACCACTGAGCAACAGTCAGTCCTTTTTCTCCTTAGCCCAAGTAAGTGGGTCGCTGTCTCTGGTTCAGGACTGGCTTGACACAAGGAATGCAACAGTTGTAGCCCGTGTCCTGGATAATTCTGTGTGTGGTGGCTCTTGAAGCACTGACACCAGCTGTAGTCCACCCCTTGTGAATCTCCCCCAAATTCTTGAATGGCCTTTGCTTCACAATCCTCTCAAGGTTGTGGTTAGCTTTGTTACTTGTACATCTTTTTCTACCACACTTTCTTACACTCAACTTTCCATTAATATGCTTGGAGACAGCACTCTGAATAGCCAGCTCCTTTAGCAATTACCTTTTGTGACTTACCCTCCTTCTGGAGGGTGTCATTGACTCTTCTGGACAACTGTCAAGTCAGTAGTCTTCCCCATGATTGTATAACCTACTGAACCAGACTGAGAGACAATTAAAGGGGCTCAGGAAACCTTTACAGGCGTTTTGAGTTAATTAGCTGATTAGAGTATGACACCATGAGACTACAATATTGTACTTTCACAATATTCTAAATTTTTCGAGATCCTACATTTTGGGTTTTCACTAGCTGTAAGCCATAATCATCAAAATTAATAGAAAGAAATGCTTGAAATATATCACACCCTGTGTGTAATGAATCTATATAATATGCGATTTTCACTTTTTGAATTACTGAAATAAATTAACTTTTAGATGATATTCTAATTTATTGAGATACACCTGTTCATATACAAAACCCTTTTTTAAAGCTTTAGTAGGAAACTTAAAACCCCTTTTCTGGCCTTTGTTGCTGTTTCTATTTATTCTGCTGACTATTTTTAGAGTGAAAGTAAAGGGAAATACAAAATGCTACAGATGTAAACAGAAGAGATGAGGTAAAATTTTTCCATGGGGACACCTGTTCCACTGACAATTTTATATGAGGGAATTCGCCTCACTCCAGAGAGACTTGCACTGAGATCCTGTTGCGTTTCTGGGAAGGACAAGAAAGAGAAATCTCCCCAAAGGGCAAAGCTCTTTACCTGTGACTGGCCTCCAGTTTATCCAGAGGTTCAGCTCTGCGTTGGATGCCATCCTGGAATACGGAATCTGCTTTCTTGAAATTGCCTCTGGCTTCATATTCCTCCGCCCAAACGATGTACAGCTGAGCATGCAGAATTCCAATTCCTTGGCTGTGTAAGTAGCTGTACAAATCTGCAGGTTCTGTGCAACAATTACCCTAACAATAAAAACAAACTCTACATAAGAATCAAATCACTTAAAGAGTAACCAAAGGCAATAAGAATCATCATTCAGTGGGCTGTTAATTCTATGCAGGAAAAAATTTATGATCATATTGCAGAAAAAGTCAGCTCAATTTATCTTAAAGCGGAGCTCCACCCAAAAGGGGTGGTTCCGTTTTAATGCTCTGTCTCCCCGCTCCCCACTTCCGCTGCGATCGCAGGTCCCAGAAGACTACGGGGCCATTCACAAAGCGCAGCGCTTCTCGCGCATGCGCAATGGGCACCCAGCTGTGATGCCTGGTGTCACAGCCGGGTGCCCACTCTAAAGATGTCGATGCCAGGGAGAGAAGAGGCTCGGTGAAACCAGCAGTGGTGAGGAAACAGCTGGACCAAGCGACAGGTAAGTGGCTGCATTTTAAAAGTCAGCAGCTACAGTTTTTGTAGCTGCTTTTTTTTTCCCCCAACTGAAATTCTGCTTTAAAGTTGAAGTCCAAGCAGAGAATCCAGCATTCAATAAATTGATTTATACTATAATATAGTATCAGCACACAGGAGGAGCAAATAAAGAAAAATACTCCCCAACAGCTGGCAACACTATGCCCACCTAGGCAGACAAACAAACTCCAAAATCAGCGCTATTAAGACTGTTCAAATGACCATTCCAGGTCTCTATCAAAGAAATAGCCCCAATATGCAAACAAAAGATAGTGATTTTTCCAAGGATTCTCATTAGATGCAAACACCCTTGTTGTATCTGGGTCTAATAAAGTTTGTGGTATTAGACTTAAGAACTGCGGGCAAAAAATGTTTTCTCCCATGCAGTGGGGCTGTGCCCTCACTGCATGGGTTAACTGTTTGTATTTGTCTAGGGGGATTTCAGAAAGGAGATATACTCACCTAATTCACTGATCCTCTGAGCACAAGACTGCAGCTCCTACCCCCGACATGCTAGCGGGCTTGTGAATGGACTGTTCCTGACATCATGCCCACAGACCAGCTCTGAACATGAGGACGGTAGGAACAATCAACTGCTGGATATGGGGGAGCACGTTTTTTTTCCGGAGGATCAAAGGATTGGGTAAGTATAACCTTTCAATGCGCTCCTAGACAAAAACGAGCAGTTAATCCATGCAGTGCAAGCACAGCCCCACTGAGCACACATTCACATGGGACCAATGCACAGATCAGAATGAAGTCTGTCAATGTTCCAAAATACATTCAGTAGAGCAAGAAATGGTTAGACCTTTTCGGACAAGGATTCCATTACCGTCCAAGCCTTTTAACCCTGGTAATAATTGAAACCTACATTTCTTTTAGGAGTGTCACAAAGAATCTTCTCAGTGGGATCACAGAAAGAAATACAATATTAGCAGAAATGTGAGATCTCCTGCTCTCCTCCACTCTATCCAAAACTAAAAAGGTTTGAGGGTTTGCCTGAATTTAGGCTCCATCCTCTCCTGGCATAAAGTCCTGCATTCGCAATTCAACAGTTCACTGCTGTTATACATATACACACATACATACACTCTATACAAAGCTGTGACCTTGAGATAACAGTGGTGCAGGGTTTAGGGTTAGAATAGAAGAAAAGGTTCTAAGTACAGGCTGTGTTGGTCTTCAAATCATTCCTTTGTCCCTATGTTCCTTTCTCAATTAGTTTCAGACATCACAAAGTGGTTACACTTCAGCAGTATCGTTACTGTAAAAAAAGGTAGGACCCTGGCAGGCTGACTTTAAAATGGTCAGCATGCATTTAATCTATATTGACAGGATTATTTTACCTATTGAGGAAATTTATTGTATGTAGTAGATGCTGACTCACAATGATGCCTAAACAAATATGCCAGATAAAGCCATTGTCAGAAGGTGCACTATGATCTGTGAGAGTTAATAAAATATCTTCGAGTGTTACACTTTATTATTGGTATATGTGTAACTAAATAAATAAAAAACACCAGCTGCACTTTAATACTATGTTACAATACATTCCTGTGTTGTGATCTCCCATTTACCCCTCACTTTTTGTATTGTCGTATGTGAATTAAACATAAAGTACAATACTACACGTCATACTTACAAACTTGAGGCAGATGTTGAGGTAACGCAAATCATCATAATATCGCTTCTCCTGGTGGAAGATCTTGACTGCCCTCTCCAGAAGAGGAGACAGATTGCTTTCCTTACCACCCTGGGGGAATGCTTGTTCTGCCCATTTTATATACCTGAAATATATTGGATTATAGTGAAAGGTTACAAAAAAAAAACAAAACAAAAAACACAAACAGCTAACAAATCAGCAAACAGGCGCCATGGATAACAAGCAACTGTCTACAGCTCAAAGCAACATCTGAAGGACCCTTTGCCCAAAGCTAGCATCAGAAGGGGCAGAAATATTCACCTGGTAAAACTTTCAGAAAAGGTAAACAGAAACCCAGGTGACAGCCTTACAAGCCTGTAAGCCAGAGACTTTAAGCCAAAGAAGCACTCTCTGCCCTGTTGGCCTCTAAGGGCCAGTTCACACTACATGCGTTTCAGTGCTTTATTTCCTGCATCCAAAATGCACAGAAGGTAGGTTATATGGTTGTCAATGTCAGTTCACATCAGTACTTGCTGTTCCAGTGTATTCCGGATGCAAAAAAAAAAAAAAAAAAAAAAAAAAAAAAAAAAAAAAAAAAAAAAGTAGAACAAGCTGCTTTTTTCCCTTCACAGAACTGTACTGGATTGTGGTAAAATGAATAAAAAAATGCACCGTAACACACCAAAAAAAAAAAACACACTTGACCCTATTTAAATGGAAGAAAAAGAGGGGAAAGAAAATTAACTGGAACGCATCAAACACGCACCGGAAAACGCTAGTAATGTGTCAAAAACGCACATGCAGACACGCACCCAGAACGCATCTGAACTGCATTTCTATAGTGTGAACTTGCCCTAACTGAAAGGGAGAATCCAATCCTTGAGACCATAAGCTTGGATGGTGGCCTAATAACGGTGGAACAAGGAGCCCTTCCAGGGCCCATCTAGAATGACAACAAAAAGGGAATCAGGGGGAGGAGGGGGGGAAGAGGAGGAGGAGGGGGAAGAGGAGGAGGAGGGGGGGAAGAGGAGGAGGAGGGGGAAGAGGAGGAGGAGGGGGGAAGGAAGAGGAGGAGGAGGGGGAAGAGGAGGAGGAGGAGGAAGAGAGGAAGAGAGGAGAGGGATATGGAGCTAGGGACAGAAAGACAATGTCCCGATTAGAGTGGAAGGCAGAGACTACCTTGTAAGAAAGATCTAGGCCTCAACACCACCTTGTGCCTATGCAAGACAAAAAAAGGTTTCCTTTCAGTCATCAGCTCTTACACTTGCTTTGCCGAAGTGATAACTACAAAAAAAAAAAAAAAAAAAAAAAAAAAAAAAACACCACAAGCTAGTGAGGTAGGCTCATATAGGAGCTTCTGAAGCACTGACAGAACCAGATTCAAATCCCATGGAGTCAGAGGAAATTGGACTGGTAAGACCATATGGGAGTCCCCCAGTACAGAGTGGGGAGCTAACAGTCTATTTAACAGTACAGAAAAGGCAGAGACATGGACTTTATTGGTGTTAAAAACGAAACATTATTATACAGGATTTATATAGCGCCAACAGTTTGCGCAGCACTTTACAAAATGAAGGTAGACATTACAGTTACAATACAATTTGGTACAAGAGGGAAACAGATCTGCTCATTAGAGCTTACAATCTAGGCGATGTCCAGGTCCAACTGCAGGAGAGAGAAGAGCCATCTCACAAAGAAATTCCGGGGCTGAATGACTTACACCAGGAAAAGTACACCTTCCCCATTCAATGATAAGCTTAGCTGAAACTGAACCTCTTAGCCTTGAGTATTCATGGAATAAAAGACTTAGAGGTGCCCCTGCAACTGACAAGCAGGGTGGCTAAACTGTTATTGGAACAGAGTCCACAGTACTTTTTCAGCATTCTTCCCGTACCGCATCTGCCAAGGCCAATCTGGGGTAATGAGGACCACCAGACTTGTCCTCCATCATAGACCAGCAGAGCAGACAAGGAAGATGTTTAAAGGGAAGAAAGGGGCACCCACTGGTTCCACCGCTAGATCCCTGAACCTGTATACAAACAGGTTCAGTTTTTGTTGAACCTGGATGCTAGGAGGCTCACATCTGTGACATGCCTTGCTGATGTGTTCAGAACCTCCCTTTTTCCACCTTGAACAAGGTACTATAAAGGCCAGATCCCAGAGCCACCATGGTGGGGACAAGTCAGGTCCATGGGGGCCCCATGATAATTCTGCATTACATCATACTTGTCAACTGTCCCGGTTTTGCCCTTTGTGCTAATTAATTTTGACTTACGGCATGTTTTCTTATGGTTTAAAATCAATTTTATTAAAAGTATTGGAACAGGCTGGTAGGGGCCCCATGCATTACTTTGCCCAGGGGCCCATGATGCTATTAAGATGGCCATGGCTGTTCGAACTGACTTATCCAGAAACAGGACTGATTTGTTCCACGACAGACAACATGTTGTGTTGCAGGTGCCTAGAGTGAAATTGGGGAAGAGAACGGCCTCAAAAAGGAAGCTACCACCAGCCCTAAGACTAATGATGATGCAGACAATGGGACAAGTTCTGGACTGAAGTACACAAAATTTGAGAGTGCAGTCCAAAGTTTTTTTGTTTTCTTTTTCACTGAGGAAAAACAAACACTCTGATCTGGTAAGTGTCCAGGATTACCCCCATATACTCCAAGCAGTAAGAGGGAATCTTCAATGACTTCTGGAGGTTCAGGATCCCCCTGAGCCCCTGCACATCTGGAAAGTCAGAGAGACATTGTCCTCCAGAGCCCAAGCAGACTGTTCCCTGCACAGTAACTCACAACTGGGATACCCCAGGGATCAACACCTTACTGAACACCCAAGGTGTAGCAGACAGGAAAAAATGAAAAAGCTATGAACTAGTAGAGCAGAGAACCTACATCAAAAAGCATAAAAATGCTGGAGAACTGGAGATGGGCACATGAAATATGCATCTTTTATGCCCACCACAGCCAGAAAAGCACCCTGGTAAAAAGGGGAGCAATGACAGATCTGGTTGATTCCATTTTTGGGGTCAAATGTAAAATTTCAGCACCTTGAGGTACAAGGTGGGAAGGAAGCCCACCGCAGACTTTAAAACAGTGAACAAGTTGAAGCCCTGAAACCAATCTGTAGCAGGGACTGGGACTATGACCCCGAGGTCCAAAAATCCAGAGAGTGCCCAATGGAAATCAGAACTTTCCTGACTGGACACAGGGAGATGAGGTTAGAGAACAAAACGAACAAAGGTTCAGGGTTTGATACCCTGGGACATCTGTTCTTGCACTCATGTCTCAGGAATCGAGGTTCAAACCATTGCTTAGGTCTACAGACCTTTGGAAAGAGGAAGGGGGGGGGATGCACATTCATTTGGTTTAGGAGTAGACTCAGTAGCCTTGCGGTGCAACATAGGAAGCAGAGCTTGGGGCTCCTCAATGTGTATCCAACGTTGAGGGTGTGGTGCAACAAAAAGGATGCTTTTGTAAGGAACAAATAAACATTACTTAGTCTGCCCCTAAGGCTTCTACCACTGAGTGAGATAAATGCATTTGCCCCCAATAGCATCCTTGGTAGTATCCAGAGTCCAAAGAGACACATTCTCCTGTAGACAGCAATTTAACCCAAAAGTTTAAAGGACAAGCTCATTTTTTGGTAAAAAATAATAAATGCACATATTTGTGCAGAAAAGCAGGAGCCTTGAAAGCACTGTACTCATGATCAGCGGATCACTGTGTGCGATGTCAAGCTTCTGCAAGACACTCAATATAGCTCCCGGTCCATATCTCCCATATGGGCAGACAGTTACTAAAGAACAGGAAGATCGGCGAACTACAAGAGAGCTCACCAGTGCCCTTGCAGTTCATTGAGAACTACAAGATGGCTGTTCCGGTGGGAAATGGTACTTGTAGTCCATTCATTCACAAATTACTGTGAATTAATGATATGGCTGTGTGGGCAGAGCCCTGGACAGCCATATTTAAAATTGTGACAGCAGGTGCAGGGAGAAGAACCCCCGCCCACTGGCACAGGGGGATGACAGGGGCATGATTGGGGTAGGAGGTCTCCTGGAGCATGTTACGCATTACACCCCAAATGTGAGTGTAACATGCTCCCAAGGATCAACTTACCCTTTAAGACTTCCCCATGCCCCTCAATTGATGAGGAAGAAATAACTTTTTTCCCTATGCAAAAAAAAAAAAAAAAAAATTATAATAGTGTTCTCTATATTATACATTTGCCTGCAATTAAATGCCTGAAAGTTTATAGTTTGCGTCCTAACACATTCTTGAGCTTTTCTTGGCTCATCTTTGTGGTATAGACATCTGTCTCGGCGAACACTTTATAGCAGTATGCAAATCAATTACATCTCTTTATCCTGCCAACATCCTCAACATTCAGTTGTTGCATTATCACCATAAGAATAACTTGCATGTGAAAACAAGAGTTCTCTGAGGAACTTGCACAAAAAAAGAAAAAAAAAAAATATAGATTTGTTGGACAGAAAAGGTATATCTCCATGTCTGAATACCGACGAGTAAAACAATACAACAGACCCAGCAGCATTCATGAATTACACACTTTTTATTTTCCTGCTTAGCAGTGAATTTCATGGCAATACGTTTCTTTGTGGGGCAGAATACAATTTTCTTCATCTAGGCATTTCATGTTACATGATTGATCATGTAGGATATGATCAGGGTGGAAAAAAGAAGAAAAAGTGATTTTAAAAAAAAAAGGATCCTGGGATATTTATTAATTGTATTTGACACTTTGCTAATTAATAAAAGGAGATCTCTATTATTTGGATGCTGCTTGGTTTAAATTTCTTTGATGAGATACAATGCAGTCTCTCAGTGTTTACATACACATTGTACATGATTACATTTACAAAATGTTTTAGCCACTTGACCTCCTAAAGGTTTTACCCCCTTTGTGACCGGGATATTTTTGCTATTCAGCACTGCATTACTTTAACTGGCAGTTGCTCAGTCATGCAACACTACCCAAATGAAAAATCGATATTTTGCACACAAAGAGCTTTCTTTTGACCGAAAATTTAAAAAAAAAAAAAAAAAATATCCATCTATATTTTTTTTCCTACTTTCGGTTATAAAACATATCCAACAACATTATTATTATTATTATTATTATAAAGCGCCGATAGTTCACTCAGCGCTGTACATTACAAAGGGGGACAGAACATGTGACAGAACAATACCAATACAATGCAAAACATGAGGGGATTGAGGGCCTGCTCTTTCGAGCTTACAATCTAGAAGGAACGGGATAGTGGTACAGGAGGAGATAGCTGTGGGGGATGGAGTGGTAGGAAGAGTGGAGGTCGGTCAAGTTAGCAGGGGGTAGGCTTCCCTGAAGAGATGGGTTTGCAGGGTGCGCCTAAAGGAGAGGAGAGTAGGTGATAATCTGATGGGTTGGGGAAGGGAGTTCCAGAGGATGGGTGACACCCTGGAGAAGTCCTGGAGGCGGGCATGGGAGGAGGAGACCAGGGAACTAGAGAGAAGGAGGTCTTGTGAGGAGCTGAGTGTGCGTGCTGGGCAGTACTTGGATATTAGGTCGGTGATGTAGTTCGGGGCAGTATGGTGGACAGCTTTGTACGTCAGTGTTAGGATTTTAAATTTGATCCGTTGCGCAATCGGAAGCCATTGGAGGGACTGGCAGAGGGGGGTGGCGGAAACGGAGCGGTTGGAAAGGTGAATGAGTCTGGCAGCCGTATTCAGGATCGACTGAAGCGGGGATAGCCAGCGGCAAGGCAGGCCAGTGAGGAGGGAGTTGCAGTAGTAGAGTCATGATATGATGGAGTGGATGAGCTGTTTAGTGGTTTCTGGGGTTAGGAACGTGCGTATTTTGGCGATGTTGCGGAGGTGGAGTCTGCACGAGTTTGTTAAAGATTGGACTTGGGGCTGGAAGGATAGGTTGGAGTCCAGAATGACACCCAGTACTCTGGCCTGCAGGGCGGGTTTGATTTTGGCGTTGTTGGATGTGATGGAGAAGTCAATGGGGGGGTGGGGTTTCGGGGGAGGGCGGGGGGGGGGGGGGGGGGGGGGGGGGGGGGGGGGGGGGGGGGGGAGACAAGAAGCTCGGTTTTGGAGAGATTCAGTTTAAGGAAGTGGAGCGACATCCAATCTGATATGTCGCTCGGTAGGTGTGTGATTCGGGCAGAGACCAAGGGGGTGAGGTGGGGGGTTGAGAGATAGATTTGTGTGTCGTCGGCATAGAGGTGGTAGTTGAAGCCGTGAGTGTATGAGTTGGCCAAGGGAGGAGGTGTAGATGGAGAAGAGAAGGGGCCCGAGGACAGAGCCTTGAGGGACCCCAACAGAAAGGGGGAGTGAGGGGGAGGTGGTAGCATTATAGGCAACGCTGAAAGAGCGTTGTGACAGGTAGGATGAGAGCCAGGAGAGAGCAGAATCTGAGGCCGAGGGAGTGTAGTATTTTGAGGAGGAGGGGGTGGTCAACTGTGTCGAAGGCCGCAGAGAGGTCAAGGAGTAGGAGCACTGAATAGTGGCCATTAGCTTTGGCGGTTAGAAGGTCGTTGGAGAGTTTGAGTAAGGTGGTTTCGGTGGAGTGTAGGGGACGGAAGCCAGACTGTAGGGGATCGAGGAGGTTGTTGTTGAGGTGAGTCAATCTCAAGGGCGGTGAGTGAGGTGCTGGGTGGAGGTGGGGGTGGAGAGAGTAGAGAGTTGAAGGTGGAGAAGAGTCTGTGAGGGTTGGAGGAGAGGGTCTTTATGAGGGTCAGGAAGTAGGCTTGTTTGGCTGCGTGGAGGGAAGAGGTGTAGGTGCGGAAGGCAGATTTGTAGCGGGTGAAAGCTTGTTGGGATTTTGTTTTGCGCCATAGTCACTCCAGGGCACGACTGCGTCGTTTGAGGGTTTTGGTGTGATCAGTCTGCCAGGGCTGGAGCGGTCGGGGTCTGATGTTGCGTGTGGTTAAAGGCGCTAGTGAGTCAAGGGCTGCTGACAGCGCGTTGTTGCAGGCAGTCATAGCCAAGTCGGGGCAGGGGGAGGATGCTGTCATGGAGTTGATCAGCTGCAGAGTGGAGGGGGGCAGGGTTAAGGTTGGGGAGGTTACGGCTGGTAGTAGTGTGACATTTGGAGGGGTAGGCGTTGGAGGACGAGGAGATAGAGAAGGTAATCAGGTTGTGGTCAGAGAGAGGGAAGGGGGTGTTAGTGAGGTTGTGGGGGGAGCGCAGTGGTTGGAGAAGACAAGATCAAGGATATTACCGTCGGAGTGGGTGGTGGATTGTATGCACTGTGCAAGTGCAAAGGAGGAGGTTAAGTGGAGGAGACGGGCTGTGTCTGGGTTGTCAAGGTTGACAGGGATGTTGAAATCCCCAAGAATGATTGTGGGTAGCTCAGAGGAGAGGAAGAAGGGTAGCCAGGAGGAAAAGGAAAAAAAGTCATCCAGGAAGCGGGGTATGGATCCAGGAGGCCGGTATATCACAGCAATCTTCAGGGGGGTTGGGGAGAATAGTCGGACGCAGTGGGCCTCGAAGGAGAAGGATAGGGAGGGGGGGTTTGGGAGGACTCGGAAGGTGCTCTGCGGTGACAGGAGCAGACCAACCCCACCACCTTTACGACCGTTAGGTCTGGGTGAGTGGGTCCAGGTGAGACCGCCGTAGGAGAGTGCAGCAGGGGAGGTAGAGTCAGTGGGCTGGATCCAGGTTTCTGTGATCGCTAGGAGGTTGAGGGAGCGGGAAACAAAGAGGTCGTGGATGGCGGTAAGCTTGTTGCACACCGATCGGGCGTTCAGGAGTGCACATGAAAACAGGGGGGAGATTTTAGAGAGCAGGGGGACAGATACTAGGTTGCGGTAGCACGTGGAGGCGGGAGGGTGTGTTGTGCGGGTGAGGGAGGTGGTGGAGGGCCAGGATTTGGGGAGATGTCCCCCGCGGCTAGGAGGAGGAGAAGGGCGAGAAAGGTGGCATGGGAGAGGGATGTGCAGGAGTGTGAGAAACTCCTAGTGGAGGTGTTCGGGTCAGAGGGAGAGTGGAATAATAGGAGGTGGTGGGTGCCATAGAGGGGCGAAGGAAGCAGTGAGGACACAATATACAAATGCTTAGGAGGAGCAGAGGGATATAGTGAATGGATTTTGGGAATGGAGGAGAGGAAAATGAGAAGGCGGAGTAGAAGAGGCATTTCTTAATAAAATGTAGGCCAAAATGTATTCTTCTATGTCTTTGATAAAATAAGTCCCAATAAGTGTATTTGGTTAGTGAAAGATATAGCGTCTACAAACTATGGTGTAGATTTTTGAATATTGATCAAACCTGATGTACTGGTGGCTTTTCATTTTTTGAGGTCTTTAAAATGCCAGGACAGTGCAAATACCCCCAAATTACCCCTTTTTTTTGCAAAGTAGACAGCATGAGATATTTAGTAAGAGGCATAGTGAGTTTTGTAATTTTTGGAAAAATGAAGAAAATAAATAACTTTTTTTAAAATCAATTTTTTTTTTTTTTTTTTACATACTATCACCAATGCAGTACAGCGTCATCATATGACTAGTGTGGCAGTGATCAGAGATACTGACTAGTGACAGTATGGGGGGGGGGGTGGGTATTCAAATTTTTGTTAACCAATTTTTCTTTTTACCATACTCTGTGGGGGTGGTCAGATCAGGGATTGTGTTTGGCTTTTTTTTTTGCACTGCTATTGGTATACAGTGATGATCACTGTATAAGCAATAGCTTGTCCTGAATGGTTTTCCAATTCATAAACAGCTTGCCTATGGTTATGATCTGTGATTGGCTGCATCTAAAATCACATGGTACAGGTATTTAGGTACCCTGTAATTGTTTTGGACCAACCACAGATAACAGTAAGCAAGCTGTTCATGAATGGAAAGTCATTCATGACAGGTTGTTTATATTATCATCATGTGATAAGCTTTGATCAATCACATCATACCCAGTTACTGATTACAGGTAACTAATTCGCTGCGGTCGATGGACACAGCAGTCACAAAAGGGGCATGCTCCTAAACCGGAACAGGCTGAGTGACAGATGTACATGATCCAGCCTGTTCATAGCACCTGCCCACAGTAGAATTACAGTGGATGGGTGGCAAGTGGTTAAAGCTGAATTCCAGGTATGAATTTTATTGCAAGACATCCTGTGATTGGACAAGGTGAGGGGGCTTGGCAGTGCCACCACAATCTCCACTTCGTACAATCAGAGAATGCTTTGCATCAATTGAGAAGTATGCAAAGCGTTCTGTGAATGGTGACCATACCAAGCGGCTGACTCCCAGTGGTTACTATGCAGCAGGGAAGCCACTCAGCGCAGGACCCAGAAGACAGCATCAGTCACTGTAGTAGCGGTGACAACTACAGTGATTCTCCACTTCCACGGCAGTCCAACAGATATGGCATGGGCATCCTTATATTGATCAAAGCTGGATCAGTGTAACAATGCAATACAATCCATACCTAGATTTAAAAACTTTAAAATAAAGATATGGGAACACTTTCTATGTTTTGAATAAAACCCAATGCAAGGGGAGTCACTGGTCACCAATGTAAGATGTCACTTTTACACTGACCAAGATAAGATGTCACTACAATTTGAATTCTGTCTTTCCTTTCTGACCATTATTTTTTTATTTCACGATTATTTTTATTTTAAAGCTAGAAGTCATTGATCACATGTTCGATCGCTGTAGGTGTTATTGGTAGGGGTACCCTGAGACCTGAAACCATTGTAGGGGTTCTTTCTTGGTAAAAAGGTTAGAAAGGCTGGTTTATATTGATTGCCTGGCTTAATATTGATTATATACCTTGCTTTAACTACAACTTAGTATGACCTCCTTTGGGACACTGGACCACCCTTCATTCAGCTATCTAGAATATGGCTCACGAATCTTGTCTAGTTACATAAAAAATAAAAAAAAACTTCATACCTGTCCCAAACATCCAAAGGGTCATCACCATTATAGAAGCGAAGTTCTAACTCAAAAGTTCTGAAACGAAAGAAAAAAAAAAAATGTTCACTTTAAAGCTTCAGGTGTGTTTTACTAACAGATTTTTATCAGATGAAATTACAGCACATGACACCCCTGTAATTAAAGCGGTAGTTAACTCAAAACCAAACATTTTTAAAAATATGCTTCCCGCTGAAACAGCATGCAGCGATTCTTCTTCCCCGCAGCCGCTGTCAAATTTGTGCAGCGGTGTGGAGCTCATTCACAGAAATCCATGAATGCATGAACTACCAGGGCCATTTGCCATTGTAACAGACAAACATCTAGTTCTCAGTTAAAACACAAATTCAGCATCACTGCACTTGGTAGACACTTCCTCTACCACCCCAACTGAAAGTCTGTACCTTGGTATGAACATAAAGCTGGAGGAAGAGTCTGTAGGAGCCTGGCGCTGCACACAAAAATAAAAGCAAATTGTTTTTCCTGCAAATCTATAATATATGCATTTATCTTATTTTTTTGGAAAGGGTGGAGTTAGCCTTCACACAAGCCTCAATATACATCATACCTTTCCTAACTTGAACAAAAAACTCTTGAATGAAAATTGAGGTTAAAGTATTTTTTTTTTTGTCTTTTTAACAAACACCTTACACCCTGCCCTCCCATCCCTACTGTATTTCTGATTGAATATCAGTCCCCCAGCCAAATGTGGTAATTAGAAGAATACAGCTACACAATGTTTTCATCTTCCTTTTTAGATATTAACAGTGCATTTACCTTTTAGGTTTAGGTTCACTTTGATAATTTGCTGCAGGGTTATTACAGAACTCTGCCTGCAACTGTACAGTTCTTTTCCTAGCCCCACTACAAAACACACAGCACAATTAAAAAAGAAACTCAATCACAAACTGGAGTTATTCATACCATGTATATGATAAAACAAACATGCTTCCCAAATGGATTCATAGATTCGGAGATAAAGACAGCTGAGGCTTAATGAAAAACTCCATTTCTAAAGGTTCAGATTTTTTTTTTTTTTTTTTAAACAACAAACATGTTATACTTACCTGCTCTGTAGAACAGTTGGTTTTGCACAGAGCAGCCCCGACACTCCTCTTCTCAGGTGCCCCGCTGGCGCTGCCAACCCCTTCTCCCTGCTGAGTGCACCCAGAGCAAGCTGCTTACTCTGGGGGCACTTAGGCATACTCACTCCTGAACCCACATAAAGTGACTCAGACCCACCCCTCTCTCCCTCCTCACTGGCTGTGATTGACAGCAGCCTGAGCCAACGGCTCCCACTGCTGTGTCTCAGCCAAAGAGCACGGAGAAATCCAGGAGAGCTGCTGCTCTTGTGCACGTCGTTGGATAGAGATCTTGCTCAGGGTCACATTTCCGGATAAAACAATAGTCAACGGGGGGAGGAGCCTTGTCATGGCAGCGTAGGAGAGCACGGAGCGGGTGCTCTCCGAATCACCTACACCACCCAGATGCCTGTACAAGATTGATCCGGGGACTTACCCACGAGCGACGGCTCTAGACGGGTCCGGCAGCCCGGGAGTGGAGAGAGGAAGGTGTGCTGGGCGGCGGGGCTTGCTGCAGGAGGTCCGGACTGAAGTGCGGGGCTGCTGGGAGAGCGGGGAGTCATGGAGCAGACACGTGGGAAACCGCAGAGCACTACTGGGAAGGGGAGAAAGCCGGCCGGCATCTGAAGTGAGAGTGAGGACGCCGGCTCGCTCCCCCCCCCCCCCCCCCCCCCCCCTGCTCCCCCCTTGCAACATACAGGAGAAGACATTTGTGTGATGGATGACCTGCTCCCCGTGTGTGTTAAGCTTATACACAGGGGAGTAGGGTCTGAGGAAGAAGACCCAGGAGTCCCCCTGAAGAGAGCAGTGGGAAGCTGAAGTTAGCAGCTGGTGGCTCGTGGATGCCTCACCAGAAGAAAAGCAACCAGAGGGTGAGTGTGAGCAGCACGACCTAGCAAATTGTGATTATATGGTGACTGTATGTTTAAAGAGGGGTAGACTCCCTGGGGAAGATGATTGTGTATAAGAGGAACTAGCAGCCCTGGAAGAGGAAGAAGGAGAGCATAGTGGGAAAGTGGAAAATTAAGCACGTGTTGAAATCTAGATACCTGGTCTGAAGCTGTTAAACCAAGGTGGTACCTGTATTTAACTGAATAAAACCCACAGAAGAGATGAAGAATAAAAACGTTAAAAGTACTGGGCTAAAGGGGTCCCAAGTAGGCACGATAAAAAAAAAAAAAAAAAAATATACGTCTCAAGGTAATGTGACCCCAGAAAGATCTCAAGATATCTGTGATAAAAGTGAGCTGGAAACGAGCTTGGAAGCTAGCCCGAGACTCTCCCTGGGAATAAAGCATAATAGTCAACAAATATTAGAGAATGTGGAGAGGAAAAATCTGGAAAGTGAACTACAAGTACCAAATAAGAAAGATGGCAGATATGTTCAAAAGTCTAGAAAAAACAATAAAACAAGAACTGACAATCATAGAGTGATTTAGGGTAGTTGCTATTGCGGATGGAGGAGACAGAGGAAAGAATTAAAAATCACGCCCAATCTATCTCTGGTTTAGAAAAAAGGACAAAAGATATTAAGAAAGAGCAAAAAAGACTGTTGTATAGGATGGAAGTACAGGAAAACAGGGAGAGAAGGAAGAAGAACTTTAGGGTAAAAGGTATCCCGGAGTCCGTGAAGGGAGAGGAAGTGAGAGACTATCTGTAAAATCCTAAACTCCATAAGAGATAGACCAGAAACAGAACAGGTGAATCTGGAAGAGGTTTTTAGAATTGGAAGGATTCAACATGGAAATGGAGAAAAGAAATCCATAATTGTCCAATTCCAAAAGATGTGTGATAAAAGATATGGAGAAAGATTAAGGGAAGATCAAATATTAAATATGGAGAAATAAAATACAGATATTTGCAGATCTGACAACAGAGACACTTAGGAGAAGAAGATCTGAAACCCCTGTTAGAGCAAATGAAAAAAACAAAATGTGCACTATAGATGGGGTATTCCTGAGTGTAATCGGATGGAAGAATGGAGTTACAGCCTACTTGAGATTTCCTGAGGATTTAAGAGACTTTTGTGATAGACTTTATTTGCAAATTATAGAAATTTCTGGTTGGGAGGAGGAGGTACGAGATAGTGGGGCCAGAGTAAAGGAAGACTGGCAGTTAATTGGGAGAGGAAGATAGGAGGAATTTTTTTTTTCTCTCTCTTCCTACTTCCTGTTCACTCGAACGAAGTACATCTTAGTGGAATCATCTTGAGTTTATGAAATAGACAAGGGGCATCTGGGGGGGGGGGGGGGGGGGGGGGGGGTGGGAGAGGCTGTTCATGGGAGGAGCTCAACCCCAAGGTACAAAATCTATGAAGGGTTTAGATCCTCAGATTTATAGGCAAACTACAAGCCTAAAATGGGTGGGAGGGAGGAAGGCAAGCCATAGGCCTAAAAGCAGAATGGAGGGAGGGAATTGGAAGGGGAGGGGGGAGAGGGTTTTTTTTAAAACTGACATCTGGCATAAAAGGAGAGATAGAGGGAAATGGAAGAAGAAAGGAGATGGTAAAATAGAAAGATGACAAATAAACAAAACATGGAGGAAATACAGTTCATAACTCATAATGTAAATGGGTTGAACTGTCCAAATAAAAGATTTAGGTTATTTAGAGAACTACAGCATAGAGCGGCCTCAGTGGTATTCTTGCAAGAAACACACCTAGAGTTAAAAAAAAAATCTTAAGTTGAAATCTAGATACCATCCGGTTTGGTATTATGCGGATTCCCCAATTAAGAGAGCAAAGGGGGTGGCTATAGGATTTGCAAAAAAGGTTAGGTTTGAATTAGAAGATAGGAATACCGATCCGGATGGGAGGTTTCTGTTTTTGAAAGGCAAACTGCAAGATATCGAGTGTACGCTAGCAAATATATACTGCCCTAATAGGAAACCAGAGATGTTTTTGAAAGGGGTTCTGAAGAAATTGATGGATTTCTCTAAGGGATATTTAATAGTGGCCGGAGACTTCAACCTATGTATGGACCCACAAAGACACAACTTCTACAGTGCCGAGAGAGGGAAACAAGTCGATGAGAATATTGAAGAAGGTGATGAGAGAGAGCCAATTGGTGGATAGCTGGAGAATAGCAAATAACAGAAACTATACCTTTTATTCTAATGCTCATAAAAACATACTCCAGATTAGATTATATATTGATAGATCATCGTCTTATCGAAGATTTGTCTAGTGTTAAGATAGAAGTAATGACCCTCTGATCATGCCCCTGTTGCATTAAAATTAAGATGGAGAGGGAGGTCGTCGGGAGGACTGACATGGAGGCTGAACGAGGCACTTCTCATGGATCAAGATACTGAACGGAAAATTAGGGAGGAGATAGGGAGATTTTTTGAGGAAAAATGAAACGGGAGATGTGTCAAGGGCTACAGTGTGGGAGGCGCACAAAGTATACATCAGAGGAATCCTAATTGCGATTGGGGCAAAGATAAAAAGGGAAAGGAGAGAAAGGATTAGTGAGCTTTTAAAGGAAATAGCTGAGTTGGAACTCCTACATAAAAGTAATAATGAAAGAGATAAAAGGAAAAAAATGAAAAAAAAAAGGAGGGAAGAATTAGAAAAAGTTTTGGAGGAAGAAAAAAACGAGAATTTTTCATAAAATTACGGGAGAAAGATATAGATGGGGAGATAGACCGGAGATTTGAGACCGGGAAAATATTTGATGAGAACTCTGAGGAAGAATAAAAAATAGAAATTATATAGATAAAAAAAAAATTAAGGGAGAATTAGTCCACTCAACTAAAGAAATTGCAAAAGTCTTTAAGGATTACTATAGTAAACTATATAATATTGCCCCCGATGACCTTACAAATAAGATCAAAAAGGTAAAATGAGGAGAAAAGGAGAATATCTAAGAAAAGCAGGATTACCAAAATTAAGCGAAGAATTATTAAAACTCCTCAGAATCTGAAATCTCACAGGAAGAACTAAAAACAGCATTAAAAAGCTTTAAGTCGGGGAAAAGTCCGGGCCTAGATGGGTATACCGTGAGGTATTATAAAAAATATAGTGACTTACTACTACCTAAATTAAAGAGATATATGGATGCGTTGGGAGGAGAGATGGAGATGAGACAGGAATCCCTACAGGCCCAGGTGGTTTTGATACATAAGGAAGGCAAAGATATCTCCCAGTGCTCAAGTTATAGACCGATATCATTGCTGAACACAGATACGAAGTTGTATGCAAAGGTTTTAGCGAATAGGTTGAGGGATCTGATGCCAGATTGGATACATGGGGATCAGGTGGGCTTTATCAGAGGAAGGGAGGGTCGAGATAATGGGTTGAGATCCCTGATGCTTATTCAGAAAAGTCGAACGGGAAAAAAATCCAGTACGGTTGCTCTCAATAGACGTGGAGAAGGCGTTTGACAGGGTTAATTGGAGCTTCATGATGGATACGCTAGAGGCTTTGGGACTGGGTAACAGGTTGAGGAGATGGATTGGAAGACTGTATGAAGGACCTTCCGCGATGATAATGGTAAATGGAGAGAGATCAGAGTCTTTTTTAATGACAAACGGAACTAGACAGGGTTGCCCACTATCCCCATTGTTGTTTGTTTTGTCATTGGAACCCTTGCTATTAACAATCAGGAAAAATATAGATATAACGGGAATTAACGTAGGAAAGATAGAGCACAAGGTTGCCGCATTTGCGGATGACCTATTGTTCTATATTAGTAACCCCAGGATAACGCTTCCTAACCTAATGAAAACATTGAAGGAATATGGGGAATTGGCAAACCTAAAAATGAATCCGAGTAAAACAGAGATATTAAATATAAACCTTCCAAAGAGCGAAAAAGAAATGATAGAGAGAGTTCCCCTTTATATGGAAAGTTAGAGAAATAAAATATTTGGGAGTGAAACTTACTTCTTCACAGAAAAATCTTTATAAAGCAAATTATATACCATTGTTAAATGAGATTAGGGAGGAATTGAAGAGAATCGGAGGAGGAAATCCTTCCTGGTTAGGTCGTATTAACTTAATAAAAATGGTAATTCTCCCTAAGGTTTTGTATAAACTCCAAATGATTCCCATTAAACTCCCAGGGACATACTTTAGAACAATTAAGCAAATGGTAACAAGATATATATGGAAAAATAAAAAACCTAGAGTATCATATGAAGTGCTAAGTAGAAATAAAGAAAAGGGTGGGGTGGGAATGCCGGATCTCAAAAGATATTATAGAGCAGTGATCCTATCAAGAATTTTTGACTGGAAACACAATACGAAGAGTAAAAATTGGGTTACAATAGAAAATACACTTAGTGGGAAAGATTTGAGTGGGATCGTTTGGGTGTCAACACAGTTTAGAGAATTAGCTGAGAGCACAAGTCCATACACTAGGATTGTTTTGAAAGAATGGGATAGATTGCACAAACAGAGGAATTGGGATTTTAATTCACTGTTAATGCCATTAAGAAATTCAGAGTTTTTCCCCCCAGGTAAAGAGGAAATTACGGGTAAATGGATTAAGAGGATGCTCAGTTGAGAGACGCAATGGAGGGGGTAAACTTAAGAACACTAGAGGATTTGAAAAGGGAAGAGGGAGGGATTTTCACCTAGATATATGGAGGTATAATCAATTAAAACAATTCGTGGGGAAATTGACGAAGCCCCTTAGAATTAGAAAAGATTGGAATTTGAGAAATTTTTTGAAGTTCGAGGTGATGGGAAACACAGCACTGCTAAAACATACAAAATTCTCACTGATTTAGATAGTAAGGTAAAATTAAGATATATAGAAAGATGGGAAAGGGATTTGGGGGTGGAGTGGGAGGAAAATACACAAAGAAAAATATATAGAATGGTACATGGAAATGTTAGCATGCAGGAGGTGGAGTTGAACTATAAATGTTTAAGTAGGTGGTATATCACTCCAATGGTAGAGCACAAAATGAGTGGTGAGAAACAACCTGGGTGTTGGCGAGAATGTGGAGAGGGGGGCACAACGTATCACGTGTGGAGGGGGGTGCCCAAAAATACAAGTTTACTGGAGAAAGGTTATAAATCAAATTAGGAATATCACTGAAATTGAGATTGGTTTGGACCCTGAGATATGCCTTTTTCATATCACAGAAATATCAATGAATAAATTTAAAGATATGGGTATAGAGTGCTACTTAAATGCAGCTAAAGGATTGATACCTAGGTTTTGGCGTAAAGTGGAGGCACCGAAGGTAGATGACTGGATAAACAGAGTGGATCAGATTGTTAGAATGGAGAAACTATACTATATACAGGAGGATAAGATGGAGGTTTATTATACAAAATGGAAGAAATGGGAGGAATTTAGAGCAAAGAAGAAAGAAGCTACTCCGTGAATAAGAATAAAGATGGGAATCGGACAGATGTCAGGGGTTTACTGAAGAGGGGTGTGAGGAAGGGGGGGATTGAGGGAAGGGGGTTAAGGGGAGAAAATGATATGCAATAAGTGTTTTTAGAAGAAATTTGTTATGTTGTATTTTATTACTTCTTGTGTTGGAAATATTTATATTGCTATATTTGAAAATAAATATTTAAATTAAAAAAAAAAAAAAAAAAAAAAAAAAAAAATCTTGCTCAGGGGAGTATAAGGGGGGCTCAGAGGGGAGATTCCCACAAAAGGTTTACCTTCTTGCATAGAATACATGAAGGTAAAAAACTTCAGCCTTTAGAACCACTTTAGAGTCAATCTTGACCCCTACCTATTGATACTTTAAAAGTGTATGACTGTGAACCTTACATCAGTGTTCAATGTATATCTCACTAGACACAGTCTTCTAAAATATTGTTTTGTTGAAAGTTCCCTTTCTAGAGATTCTGCGAGTAACAGCACTTCATGTTGCAGGCTGACAGCTCTAAACCACTGCCTCGCAACTGGAAGCAGAGTTGTCAGCCTGCTGTGTAGTTGGCCATTGGTCTAGCCATCTGATAGCCAAATGGGCAATTGAAAGAGCTCACATAGAAAGCTGACTGGGCTGCCGCTAATTGTGAAGCAGTGGCTTAGCATTGTCACTCTGCAAAAAAGGAAGAGCTGTTACTGGCAGAATCTCCAAGTAAGAAAAACTTTGCAAAAGAGTCACAAAATGAATTGCTTGAAGCGTCTTTAGCTAAAACTTGTTTATTTTTTGGATAGTGGGATATCCAAAACAGTGGGAAAGGATAAGAACTGCTGTCAGGTTTTAATGCAGTTTGGTGCTCCGTTAGAGAGATTTCTTCTCTTTTGCACTGTCTCAGGAACAATCTATTCACCAGACAGGAAGTGAAGGAAATTTTCTAATGGATACACAGACAGAAGTAAATATGCCCTTTATTTCTTTTTTTTAAAGTTAGGTTAGGGAAGGTTAGAACCTCTGTCAGCTTTTAATTGTTCTGTTTCCACATTGTAGAGTTTCCCTGACTTTCTGTCAGGTAAAAGGTTGTCTCCAGAACAGTAAATGAGGGAAAATCTCGCTAATGGGGGCAGCATAAAAAAACACTCACTGTTTCTGTTGCTGAATGGAATGATGGTTAGAACTTTCTTGCTGGGAAAGTACTTCTTGAAGAGTGGACATAGCTCTCCCTTGTCGAAGAGGCTGAACATTTTCTTTGGACAGCTCCCACTCATCCCCACCTTGTGCCATGGTGAACGGCCTGTAGATCATAAAAACATGGTACATAGTGAAGATAGATGGTTAGGGTCAGATGAACGGTCTTATTAAATCAGCCTTAATAGATGTAAAAGACTAGTTGTCACAGGTAACAAAGATATGTTTTCTACAGTTTAATATGATTCTCTATAATTCCAAAACACTGGAGAAAGGAAACAAAAATCAGGACACTAACATGTTAACACATACTGAATGCAGGCTGCCAATATGATCAATGCACAGCTCCAGCAATGTCTTCAAAGTATTCAGGTTTGGGATAAACTCTGCAGTTAGCAACCCCATTATAACAATTCATGCAACGCGACCCTTTTGGCCAGTTTGTGTGTGTTCAGGACAATTGCTGCTCCCTGCTATTGATCTCAAAAAGTGAACATGCCAAAATCTGTGACTGGCCCAGGTATCATGTGATAGCTGTAGGAAATCATAGCTACACTCTATAGGAAGCACAGCTGTTATTCAACATAACAGCTTTGTTAATATTGTGATCATTGCCACATGATCACATGATCCCTGAGCCGCAATTTACTGTCCTCTAACTTGTATGTCATCCAGCCTGCACGTGTCACCCACCCCTGTAGTATGTACTGTGGCAGACAGAAAGTGGTTAATGCAGAGAATGCATTAAGGTAAAAAAACCTTCAGGCTTTAGAACAACTTGAAAATCCATTGCAACAATGAGCAAGAAGGCAGGCAGGCTTTATTGCAAAAGATCTCTTCTGCAATAAATTTCCCCTACCTGCCTGCGCATGCACAGCTCACAGCACTGCGTTTACTGGAATGGTTGTAAAGGCTGAAGATTTTTTTTTTTTTTTTTTTTAACCTTCATGCATTCAATGCATGAAAGTAGAAAACCTGTGTGCAGCAGATTCCCCAGCCCCCCGCTTACCTAAGCCCCCTTACAATGTTTTCATCATACTCCACTAATATCCTTATAATGAAGGGGAGGATTTACCAAGACTAGAGCAGCTGTGCATGGCAACCAATCAGCATCTAGCTTTCATTTTCAAAGCTTACGTAGTTGTAAATCCTTATATCCAGTGAAGTGAGAGGCCTCAGGCGATACACAGAGATGAAACAAATTCTCCCACATAGGTTGGAAACTGTCTATCAGCAGTCTCCTGTTCTCTAGATCCAAAATACTTAATTTATAAAGCTTGTCTGATAATTGTTTTTAAAAAAAGTGGGTGGGAAGCTGAAATTACACTGCACAGCTCAATGCGGAGAGCTCTGAGAGCTGATTGAAGGAAAGAAACACGCCCCTTTCACACAGCTCACAGGAACAGAGCTGAGGCTGTCTACCTGCTGGAAGTCCCTCCCCATCACAATTTTTCACCTGGTGTCAGGATAACTTGTCAGAAGTGATTCAAGCGGATAGCAGAGGAACAAAGTAGCAGACAGAAATGACACTTGGTGCTCTGGATTGAGACAAGTACACACTATAGAGCAGATGTCTCCAAACTTTCCAAAGGGCCAGCCTACTGTCCTGCAGACTTTGGGAGGGCCGAACTAAGGCCAATGGAAATATGAAATGCATTGGCCTGGTTGGTTAGTGGGAGAGGAAGGAAAAAAAAAAAAAAAACAAAAAAAAAACCCACACATGCTCAGTAAGAGGAGCGTCTCCTGCTGGGCGCCGGCGGACAGAGGAGCGTCTCCTGCTGGGCGCCGGCGGACAGAGGAGCGTCTCCTGCTGGGCGCCGGCGGACAGAGGAGCGTCTCCTGCTGGGCGCCGGCGGACAGAGGAGCGTCTCCTGCTGGGCGCCGGCGGACAGAGGAGCGTCTCCTGCTGGGCGCCGGCGGACAGAGGAGCGTCTCCTGCTGGGCGCCGGCGGACAGAGGAGCGTCTCCTGCTGGGCGCCGGCGGACAGAGGAGCGTCTCCTGCTGGGCGCCGGCGGACAGAGGAGCGTCTCCTGCTGGGCGCCGGCGGACAGAGGAGCGTCTCCTGTTGGGCGCCGGCGGACAGAGGAGCGTCTCCTGCTGGGCGCCGGCGGACAGAGGAGCGTCTCCTGGTTGGGGTCAGTGGAAAGAATAGTGTTCCGATGTTTATATAAGTGGAAGAAAGTATGCCCCATCGTTGGTGCCTTTGGATGAATATGTGCCCCATCATTGGTGTCGGTGGAAGGAATGCTGCTTCATCATTGTCATCCATAGCAGGAATAATGACACCACCAACACAGGGCACAAATATTCTCCTGCACCCGATCACAAGGTGCCGAATAACCATGCGAACAGGTTCCTGCACGTTTTCTGTGCTATGCATTGCGATTTGAGCCCATTGAAATGGAATGGACTCAAATTGCAGCAGATAGAATCGCATGTGAATTGTGCAGGAGTGTGGCTCCATTCTCATGGGTGGTATATAGTGAACCCAGGCTATCAGAACAAGCTGAAGATACAATCCGATTGGTCGCTATGCACAGGGGCTCCAGTCTTAGTAAATCCCCCCCACTGTATGTTTTCTGCTTGTGGTTGTCTACACCAGGCCTGAGCCATGGCACGGACTTCCAGTCCCCCTCCATTCAGAGAGGTCCCACCCAGTCTCTGTACCCCAATACACAGGAACAATACTGCTCAGTCCGACGGCTAAACCACTCGGTTACGGCAGACGTAAAGCACCATATCTCCGGTGTACGGAAATACAAGTCCCGCACTCACCTCCTCCTGTTCTGTCCTCCCAGCATACACCGCTCTCCGTACATTTAAATCACACGCCTGTTTCTGATTGGCCAGCTGTGTGACCTATCACGTGAAAACCCCTCCCGGTGTCTAGTTCTGACATCTCACGTGACTCCTTAGTGGTGAGCAAAGCATTCCGGGAAATGTAGTTTTTCTTGTGGCACCGTCTGCGAATGGCTGTCTTCCGGGTGTGACAGGGTTCTCTTTTATTGGTTGTTGGTTTTTTTTTTCTGCTGAATTGTGTTCATTATTATAGAATACAGGATGTTATTTTATGAAATGTTATGTTATCCGATTAATAAAGACTTTGTGACTGGTGTGGTGTGGAGTATATTGTACACAGCCATGTAGTGGATACAGGAGCTCATCATTCATATCCATCAGCGGCACTGCACTCTCCTAGAAGTCCCCATTCACATGTGCACATTGCGTTAATGGGCATTTTTTTGTGCTTTTTTTGGGGCATTTTTCACGCCACAGTAAAGGGCAGTCCGTTCACATGAACGGACTTCCCCATGTATGACAAATGTGCCAAAAAAGCTCCTGCGCCTTCTGCGGGAGCAGAGCCCAGCAAGTTTTTTTAAAACGCACATTTTCTGGCCGTGTTTGGGTTGACATTAACATTTAATGACATCACAAGCACAACACGCGTTTTTGCGCACTGCAGAACTCACACAGGAATGCACATTTCTTCACACGTTCCCAAAAACATACAAATGTGAATGCAGCCTATCAAGTTACTTTGAATAAAAAGATAAAGGTTTTCTCTCATGTACCATAATAGATTGTAAGCTCTTCTACCTTCTGTATCCTCCCGTATACCTTTTTTTGAGCCTTGGTGGAACCTGTTCGCATGGTTATTCGGCACCCTGTGATCGGGTGCAGGAGAATATTTGTGCCCTGTATTGGTGGTGTCATTACCTTTGAAATGACACCAGCAGATCACAAAACAGAGGGCGACCGTAATGCGGTGCGGGAGCACAAAGATTGCGGCATTTCCTGAACCGCATATCTGTGAACTGGGGGTTAAAGTGGTTGTAAGCCTCAGACATGAAATATGAACAAAGCACATCCCTCTATAGCGTGTACTTGTCTCTATCCAGAGCACCAAGTGTCATTTCTGTCTGCTTCGTTCCGCTGCTATCAGCATGAATCGCCTGATGAGTTTTCCTGACACCAAGAGAAAAATGGTGACAGGGGATTGACAGCCTCAGCTCTGTTCTTGTGAGTTGTGTGGAGTGGGGGGGTGTCTCTTCCTTCCAATCAGCTCTCAGAGCTCTGCTCACTGAGCACTGCAGTGTGTGATTCCAGCTCTCATCTCCTTTTTTTCTGAACTCTCAGACAAGCTTTATAAAAAAAAGTTTAATGATTAATTTATTTTTTTTTATTTTTACACTGTTTTCTTCAATTTTTTTTTTTTTTATCATTGTGATTGCTGTTACAAGGAATGTAAACAGTCTTGTGACAGAAATTGACAGGTACTCTTTAGGGAGAGATCTGGGGTCTGTAAGACCCCAAATCATTCCACTGCACTTAAAAGCATTCATTTGTTGGCCATGCTTTTCTTGTAGGTCACAGGAGTACAATTACTTTTGCCCTTCTGTGACCCAGAGTCAGCTGATGGCGAGCTATTGTCCGTTCTCAGCTGAGATAAGAGAGCTGTTCCGGGCTCAGGAAGCATCCAAACAATATTGTAGGAATCCACACCACTTCCTGACTGAAAGCTGGCTTTGCCTTTCAGAACATGTCTGAGAGCTGCAGACAGCCGTTCCTGCCCCCTCCCCAGCCAGATGCTTCAGTGAGCACTGGAGAGGGACAGAGCATAGAGTGTTGACTAACAGTCATTGCTCTCCACTCTGAGCACTGAGAACTGAGCGATCAGTTATCATATCATCTCTCAGTCTTAGAGCGAATTGGAACAGCTGCAGCATCACAAAGATACTGCCGCATGGAGGGGAGTATAAATGTTTAATTATTTTTAGATTCTATTCTTCTCCTTTAAATTTTTGATTTTTTGGGGGGTTTCATACCATTTTAATACTTACTCTAGCATGACTATGTTTCACATAAGTACAGAATATATATATAGATATATTTTTCCTCCAGATTCATGGCACATGGTCATTTTCACTAGACCAGTGGTCGTCAAGCCGCGGCTCGCGAGCCACATGCGGCTCTTTACACGCTTTAATGCGGCTCTTGTGTGCCGGGCGCCCGCTACCCTCCTTCCTCTCGGGCGGCAGGGACTCTGCAGCGTGATCCAAAAAAAAAACAGCCAGGGCAGCGCGCTCAAATGCAATGATTGGCCAG